AAGGTCAGTGCAGAAGTCCCCTTTGTGGGTACCCCATGGAGTTGATCTCCACGTGCAGCCTTGGAGGAGATCACTGTGTGGTGGATGAGGCCTGAAGGAGGCACAGCCTGCAGAGAGCCTCTGCAGGAGCAGCCCTGCGTTTGGGTTGCAGCCTAAGGAGGGGAGCCCATGATGGGCAGGAGGGCTGGGGGAGCTGCTGCCCAAGGGAAGCCATGTTGAAACAACTCCTAAAGGGTGGGCGCTGTGGAATGAACCTGAGTTGGAGCGGTGCTTGGAGAGCTGCAGCCTGTGGGAAGCCTAGACAGGATCAATTTGGGAAGGACAGCATCCCATGAGGCAGACTCCACACTGGGGCTGGGGAAGGGAGAGACCATGAAGGAGTAGCAGACTGAGCTCAGCTCCCATTCCCTGCACTGCTTAGGAGAAGAAAGTGAATGAGGGGAAGGTGCTTTTAGTTTGCTTTTAGTTCTCACTGCTGTTGTCTGTTAGCAATAGGCAATAAATTACATTAATCTCCCTATGCTGACTATTTTGCCCGTAACTATAATAGTTGAGCAATCTCCCTGTCCTTATCTCAGCCCTTTTTCTTATTTTCTCCTATTCCTTTGAAGAAAGGCAGTGGGAGTTCAGCTGCCCATCAGCAGTTTGCAATTGACGTTTCACTGGGCTGTATATCTTTGAATCACTTTAACTCCACATAGATGCTAGACATGAGCAGCTTTTGTTCCTGATGTGTAGTGGTAGTCTGGTGACTCTGTGAAAACAATTAGCAGATATCTGTCTGAGAAAGGGCATTTTTTTCATGTTGAAGGTATAAAAGTATAAGTGCACAAGGCAGCAAGAGCTGCCACAGTAGCTATTACAGAATCTAAGACAAACCTACAGTTTAACTTTGTTGAAGGAATTGGGGCAGATTTTTTGAGAGAAAATGTTGGATAGTATTTGTAAGCTGGTTACACTGAAAACTTCCTATCACCACAGTACTTAGAAATCAGATTCAGGTTTTATTGCACTACATGTTTTTTGATGTAAGGAGAAATGCCTTCTTCAGTGAGATTAAGACAATCTGAGGGATGGGCAAATGAATACTTGGGCATAGCGGAATGATGGAGAGGATGAAAAGTAAAATGGGAGGGAAACAAGCTTATGGGAAGTTTGCAAGGTTATCATTCTGGTTTTGCGTTGAAAAGGGTGTGACGCTATAGGTACCTTGTTAGCTGCAGTTTGAAACTGACGTAAGTTTCTAATAGTACAGATAGACAGAATGGAGCTTATAAAGGCCAATGTTTGCCTCTGCTTTTTCCCACCCTAGGCAGGCAACATGGTATAATACTTAAGCTTGCTTACTGCCTAAGTACATTTTTGAAAAATGGGGTTCTGAGTGATCAGTACCACCCAGATGCACTCAGTGCTAAGTCAAGGGATGCAGAGGAGGTGGCTATGGTAAGATCTGATAACTTTTTATAGAGATTAAATTATTTATTATTTGTATTTTCTATAAAACCTAATTATTATAGGCCACATAGTGGTCAGAACAAAAAAGGCATCTTTCCTTACTACTTAAAGAACAAAGTGTGGGATTCATCTCAGTTAACCTTGCCAGCCTTGAGGTCACATCTCAGGTATGCTTGTTGTTGTATGCTTTCTAGTCAATAAAGAAATAGAAAAGCACCTTCAAAGCATCGTTCACCTCATCTGTCTCTTACTAGAGCTGGTTTTAGATGCCTTTCAGTTTACCAATTTTTAAGGGATTAAGCTTAGGTAGGTGAGTTCCAAACTCTTGCCCATAACAACCAACTTGAGTAAAAGCTGGGGAAGTCCTCATAACAACAGTTTAGCAAACTCTATTAGTAATTTTGAGCTAGAGATTTAAAGAGATGTTTTCAAAATTAGCAGATGTTAAAAAGTTTGGATCTTATCCGTCTTTCATTTCTTCCTGCAGGAAGGAGCTTCTGTAAAATAAATTTAAAATTCATGAGTAAAATGAAAAATAAAATGGTGCAATAGGATTGTTGATTATTTGGCTTCAAGTGGAACCAAGGCGTTTCTTGGGGGGGGAAAAAAAGCAAAAAAAAAAGCCAAGTAAAATTATTTATAATATCAAATGCACAGCAGTTCTGTGAGACTAATACTTTATGGTAGGTGGGGGACGGTTGCTGCTATGCAGTTTCCACTAAATCATTTTCTTAGATGTGTGCCCTACCTTTGTGGCATACGAATGAACATCAGGACAGCCTGTGAGGCTTTCAGGTTAGAGGTAATGCTAAAAACAATATTTTTCACTTGAATGTGTTAGCGTGCTGATATTAGTCTCACCTCTGCTAGCCTCTGGATATTTCCCTTCTGAAAACCATCATCAAAATTAACTCTGGATGTGACTGTGTTATGAGAAATGTAGTATCAGTGCGAAAAGAAGAAATGCTGCAGGGGCAGAAGTGAACCAAATATGCATGTGGGCAGGACAAGGCTTGTTGCTGTCTTCATTTCTCTGCACTGATCAGGTGCAGAGCTGCTTGAAGAGTACCCCAAGCAGCTCCAATGACATGATTTGTTGTCCTTTATATTCCCTTCTTCCACCATCACACTGTGGGTTTTTTTCCACTTATTCTCATCTCCTCTCAGATGAGCAGCCTTTCCCTGTTTGTCCCTTTCTTACTGGCCGCAATGTTGCTGATTTTACATCCTTATTCCATATTTATGTCTAGATTGCCCTGGTAATTTCTGCCTTGGTCAGCAGTGCTGTTCAGCTGGTAAGCCTGTTCATGCTTTTTCTGGGTTTGCTATCTTGCTAGTGTAGCCTCAAGTCAAGGTTAGCCGTCTGTGTGGGTATTTCTCCCTTTCTCCTATTCATTATGCCTTGTCATTGCTGACACTGGCACCTCTCAGTGTAGCTGCAGCCCAGGTTTGACAGTTTGCACACAAACCCCTACTGGTGGAAGCACCTTCTTCATCTCTTTTGTCTGTTACCAGAGGCCAATCTCATGGCATGCAGCAGCTGGACCCTGATGGAAACTTCTCAGTCAACCTTTGCTTTCTGCCTACCATTTCCCCCATAGAAGGCCACAGAATAAGTGCAACAGGGCCAGCCTCTTGCTGCGTCTTCCAGCGTATTGCTCTGTGTTTCTTTCTTTGCTACCTTATGCTGGTGACCCAGATTGGGAAATACATTAACTTCTCTCCTGGACCAGACAGTGGCTTGATTTTTGGTGATGACTTCTGTCCCCTGTCTAATCTGTTTTCTGAGCTATGTAGAGAAGCTTCCTAGCACGTTGTTATGTACAGCCTGTCTTCTCTAGGATTGTTCATCTCCTGTTTACTGAGATTACCTCAGGGGCAACTTGGCAGTGAAAACTGCTTGAATGGGAATGGCTACTTTAACAGGATCTGAGTCTTACACTGGATTTGTTTTGGGGAATGTGTTCTTCTGAAAGATAGAAAGGATGAGTTCAGAGAGGCTGTGTTCACCCCCCTGCCTTCATTCAGGATGGCTCTCTGAAGACGATTTCCTGACAAGGTCAAGCAGACAAGGTGGGCTGTAGAAGCTTCCTTTTAGTATAAAGGCCAAGTAAGCAGTTAGTGTAACAATGGAACTACATCTTGCAATTTTTCCCAATTATTTGCTAGGGAGCAGCAAGAAGAAGGGGAAAAGTACCTTGTATAATGCCTGAGTAGTTGCTGCTGCTGCTGTTGCCACTTGCCTGTATGCTCTGTGTTCCTCCTTGGGCTTGCAGCTTACATATGCAGTAGCAGGGCAATAGAGATGATATTTTTTTTCTCCTGAGGTAGAAGTAAAAAAAAACAATAATTGGCAAAATTCTAGACTAAGTAAACAGAGTCAGTGTAGTTCCATTTATCTAACTAGTGTTGGCTTACATTTCTCTGCCATCAGACCGTCATGCCACATTGCAGTCTGAGAGCTGCCTGCAAAGCAACTGAAAATGTAATGATGAGGATTAGAACTCATTTCTATCTGCAATAAAATGCATCTTCATCCAGATACAGGTAGCTCTCGATATGAAGACATATCACTATGCTAACTAATAAGAACTGTACAGTAGTTCCTCTGGTAAAAAGAAAGAATTTGCACCTTGAATCTCATGATTTATCTCTTATTGAAATTTTTAGGAAAGAAGGTAATACTTAAGATTAAAAAAAAAAAAAAAAAAATAAGATGATTTATTTTAGTTGTGTTTAAGCTAAATCTAACTTTTGAATGACTGTGTTTCTTTTTGATTTTTGGTCCACCGCTTCAAGAACTGCCAATTTGCAGCAAGCCAATCATAGTCACTGTAACACTGCTATGCAAACAAGATCTCTGTTTGGATACAATATGAGGGCTGAGCAGAGATTGTCCTTTCAGCTGTCCTTGCAGGCAAAACCAGCCCCTGTGAAATTCAGCCTAGATCAGGAGATCAAGAGAGAGATTTAACAAATCATTTGGAAAATATATTTAGAAGACCAAAATGTGACTTAGGGATCACTCATTACATGTTCTTTATTTATATGTAGTTTGTCTGCCCTGACTCAATTACAACTCTGTTTCTGTAAAATATTTTGCTTTCAGTTCAAATTGCTGAAAAGCATTTTCAAAATGTCAGTGTGTGTTAAGCACTTAGTATTCATAGGCTCTTCTGAAAAGCCCATATGCTATGCAAATTAATATCTAAGAGTAATTTCTGAATGGGTATCCATAGAGACGCGGTTCAGAAAAACTATTAACGTGCGTTTTCCTTCCAGTGGTTTCAGTGAAATACAGATTTTTGCTTGAACACTTCATACAACGAGGAGTGATTTCCTGAGCTGAAGTTGTACTCGTTGCAGATAGTGGTAACAGTATATGGTTTGTTTATTAATGGATTTGGTTTTCATTTGCTCTTCCCTCCACTAAATTGAATTCTCGGTGATGGAAAATGCATACATTCATTTAATGTTTCCTGAAGCACCTCCTGCGTGATCGTCTAGGAACGTGTCCCCCTTACTGTTTGTGTGTTGTCCCCTAGTGCACCTGGTGGACATTTGGAACGTGATAGAAGCCTTACGGGAAAATGCCCTCAACAACCTGGATCCCAGCATCGAACTGAACGTGGCTCGCCTGGAAGCTGTGATTTCAACTATTTTCTACCAGCTCAACAAACGGATGCCGACGACCCACCAGATCAATGTGGAGCAGTCCATCAGCTTACTGCTCAACTTCTTGCTAGCAGCCTTTGATCCGTAAGTCTGCTTTCATCCCCCACGGGCTTCCCTGCTTCCCTGACTGGTGAAAGGGTTTCGCTTGCTCTGAAAATATCTCTGGAAAACAATCCCACAAGCTATATTCTGACCCAAATAATGAGCGTGTGAATAGTGCTCACTAGGGAGAAAACCTAAAATTAAGGGCCTTTCCTTTCTGTTGAGCCAAATTCAGCACAAGCGTGTTTCCACCCAGTTTCTCCAATTTGTTCATGTCAAAGAGGAATTATCTACAGAAACAAATTCACATCCACTTCTAATTTATGTTGTTATTTATTGATGCACCAGTCTCTGACACCACTGCAATGACTGTGCGGCAGTGACAGGGGTTAATAGCTCATTATTTGGAAAGAGCTCCATTTACTGCGAGTTCTTGCAGCTGTAAGCATTTTCTTTTTTCTGGCTCTTCCCAGTGCAGTATGATTTTGAGACCATGACAGAAATAGAATAATGACCAGGAGGTGAAACTGAAATTCGTGTTGTTTATTACTGTATGGGACCCATACTGCAAAAAGGACAGGTTCAAGGTAGAGTGAGCTGCTTGCTGTAGCAAGTGTACCTTGTGTACGTATTAGTTACTGAATGAGTAGACATCAGCCTGCATTGCTGTGTTCAAAGTCCTCAGGCCCACGTTACTGGAGAACAGCTGTTAAGTCTGCATATTGCCTATTGCCTCTTTATGGCAGTTCACCAGCTGCAAACATTGGCCGTGCTGCCCTTGTCCCCTCCCTCTTTCCACCCTCTCCCTCCATGGTCCCAGTGCTGGGTATCGGGGCTGGGTTTTGTGCACCTTTTGGAGGCAGCCCAGCCAGGCAGCTCAGTCACCATGGCAACGGGGAGAAAAAGTACTTGTTCCACATGACAGGGCTGCACCCAGCCTCCCCTCCGGTCCCTCTGAGGGAAAAACAAGAAGTCAATCAGTTGTAGAGCTGTAGCCTTCAGGAATATTTTTTCCTTCTCAACAGCAGTAAGGCAGGGAACAAGCATTTTAATGTATGCCACTGAGGCTGTGACAAGAGCACAAAAGGACAAGGAAAATGGCCGGATGCACACATCGGTGCACGCTGCACGCAAACTGCTCCCCAGCTGACAAGCAGCAGCCCCAGGACCATGAGAGCAGGAACTGTGATAACGTGCTTGTTTTGTAGCTCACCGTGGTGGGGGGTGGAGTTGTCAGCTGGATGTCAAGGCCAGTCATAGCAAAATGGAGGATAGGGTTTAACTCCTCTGTACAGAAACAGAATGTGAGAGCAGGGTTTGGCTTCCCCTGAGCACAGCTTCCCACATGCTGTGTGATGACCTGGTTTGGGCTCCCAGAGGACCTGAGGAGGCTGTAGGCATCTCATCGTCCTCATGCTGCTGCCTTCAGGCAGGATACACAGGGTGCATTTCCTATGGCAGAGACAGACAGAGCATCCTGAGGAAAATGCTCTTTGCCTTAGAACCTGAGGTGAGGACTGGCTGCGCATAACCCTGTGCTGAATGCACCAAGCATTGTGTGTGTGGTTCATCTAATCACAAGGTTCAGGCACAGTCTGTGAGACCTAAGTTCAGGCTTCACAGACATCTGTGTCATCTAGATGTCTCTTTAATATGATGGGTGTTTGCCCACCTATTGCAAATATAGACATGAAAGTCAAACGTCTGATTCTCAAAACTGGTGTCAAAATCCTTTAGCATGACTCAGATGATTGATGTTTTGTTTTGAGTGTTTGTTTAGCAACCGCTTGCGGTGCAGATTTCCCTGACTCTGATGTGAGTAGCTCCTGCTCAGTAGAGGAGCGGTGTAGAGCTGTCTGCGTTCCTAACTGCACTGATACGTGTTCATACATTGCATAAAGGGAGCTGTGAGGCTCTGGATGAAGTCTTTTTCTCCAATTCCTTCCTCTCTTATGGAGAAACTGGACAGTTAAACTAAATTGCCTGGAGTCTTGTCTGATGGAAAAAAAAATAGTCACTCCTAAAATAGTCCTGTTGTCTTTGACCTGAGTTCACTCCTGTTTTGTAGCCATGTTTTCAAGAAATGGCTGGCCTTTCCAAAATGCCAAATCCAAATTGTGAGGGATGTGTTTATTAACAAATAAGATCACATTTGATTCTATGTACACAGGCAGCAACAACAAACCCAAACCATAAAAAAAACACTCTGCTTTCTAAGGCTAAGACAACATAACTCTTTCAGTATAAATGAGAAGTGGTCACAGAGTGTTTTGGTGTCTGTGGCTATGCAGAACAAAGGCTGCTCCTGCTGTTCCAAGGGTAGTTTCAGAAGAGATTGCTCAGTTGCTCACGTTCTATTTGAAATGCGAAGGAAAGGAGTGGAGAAGTGGAGTCCATCACTTAGTGTATAAGAAAGGACCACAAGGGACAAGTCAATATGTGATTTAAAATCCAATATACCTCTAATTTATTCAACTCTGGTCAATATATACTGTCCCACATGACCATGCTGGCAGCCTGCTAGCAACAAGTTGAAGATCATCCAAGCATTATACATTGCTCCTTTTAATTATAGCCCATATTTTCGGAGCATTCATCCCAAGACATGTCAAAGCCCAGACAGCCAACTAGGTGAAATGTCAGCCTCATTCAATAAAGCAGCTCCTAAAAAGACTCGTATTAAGCAGACTGTAAGATAATCTGTTCTAGGTCATCTTCAGCATCTGCTCAGTATTGCAGTACAGCTGTTCTCCCTGCAAAGTTTAAGTGACAGGAACATCACAGATATTTCTGTCCCTTGACATGTTTGTCTCATGAATAGATCTGAGAGCTCTGAGCAATGAACAAACTAAATCTAATTGCAGGGGTTAGACTTCTCAGAATAAAGAAGAAATAGTCATGCTTGGTTTTAATCAGACGTATATTAGAGCTTTATTGAGTTCAACATGTAGAAATGTTCAGTGCCTGTTTGGATATATAAATTCTTGCTTGATCATCCACTTGGAGCTATGAAGTGTAAAACTGCCCTCTTGTCCATCTTTGCTAATCACTGAAAGTGATGCAGTCAGACTGGATTTCATGGAGGAAGTCCTGCAAAAAGGAGTGTGACAGAGAATTGGCTGTTACAAATTTTTCTTTCCTAAATGAAAGAATGTTGCTTGGTTCCAATAATTTTGTCCTTGAAAACCATTTGTGAAAATCACAGAATCACCGAGGTTGGAAAAGCCCTCGGAGGTTGAAATTACAGCCTCTAACAATACTGCTTCTGTTGCCCTAATTTAGCTGGATGGTAGGAAGTCCACAAGTACAGAAGTTTTGCTACTAGGAGTTGATGGAAAGTTGATCAGGCAGTGTGGGGGACTTCCCTGCTATGGAGAGAGGCCATCTTTTCCTCCAGCCACACAGTGAATGAAGAAACCTTCTGCTCTGCTCTGTGTCTAAAAGCATGTATTACTTTCTGCCCTTTTCCTCCCAGCTGCAGGAGATAATCTTACCTGACCACCATTGCTTTCTCTAAGTACTCTCCCATGCTGGTGCTAAGTGCGTGTCAGCTTCAGGGGTTGCCTTGGCCATCATTGATGCTCCCAACACTTTTCTGCAGGGAACTGAAGAGGAACTTCTGGAAGAGGGGTGCTTTATAAAGCCACAACATTTTCTGCCCTGTCCTGTTTCCACTAGCGAAATTTATATCTTCCTGCATTATTTGTTAGGGTAGTATGGTTAGGTTGCGGTTGGACTTGAAGATCTTTAAGATCTTTTCCATCCTGGGCAATTCTATGATTCTATCCAGCTTAAAGCTTCGTTCAGTGGAGGGCTTCATGCTGCTGAGCCGCTGCTCCAGCATTGGCTTTTATGCCACAAACAGTGCGAGGCCCTGCTGCTGCCAGTCAAGGGCATCTGCAGTGCTTAGCAATAGCTTAGGGCACTTCTGCATCTGACTGATACTGGCAAGTCTTAGGCTCCATTATCCTCTTTGTTCATCAGTCATATTTATTTATGCATGTGTGTGTGTATATGTATGCACGCACATGCACGTATATATTTGGGGGGCTAATTGAATTTATACTGGGTCTAGTGATGCTTTTATGAATACAAATGACCGATACAAAACACAGTGTCAGAAGTTATCAACTCTAACTGAGAGATTGAAGAGATAAATGAAATCTTATTCTTTCTGTTCCTGTGTTCTGTACCATTTGAGTGTGGGAAACGCCAGTGGCTCTGGGATGGAGAGCTGATGGTGAATTGATGTGTCTGCCACTCAAGAGTATAATCCTGTTAGTAAACATAACTAAATTTACTGGGAAAAATATCTAAACCTGAAGCAGTTCCACATGGGCTTCATTTTTTGTTCAAATTTTTCCATAGCTTCTTAATAACGCTATTGCTTTCACTTAGCATTTTTCTTTAGCATAACAACTCTTTCCAAGGCAGGTAAAAACCTCATATAAAAAACTGCAGAAAAAATATCCCAGAAGTCTGAAAGGTGTAATGCAAAAAAGGAGTGGAATGCAAAACAATCAAATTCTCAGCTGTAGCCACAATTTGTTAGCACAAATTAGAGTCTAACCATTGAAGAGTGGAAATGCAAAAAACTGGAATAGATTCTGAATGTCCTGTACTGGGATTTAATCTCAGGAAGCCAGGCACAATGTGCACAATGTGATGAACACAATGTGATGAAAAAGGAGATGTGCACCAAAGTCAGCACTAAAGAACATATTAAAGATTTACTTCTTAAATAATGAAGTAGTCAATTTATTTCTTTTTGTCTGCATTTCTTGTTGATTTTCTGACAAAAAGCACAATTTTAAAAAATGAACATAGCTGTAAAGCATGTAATAACATTTAATGTGCTAAAACAAGCACATAACAAGAAGAGGGAAGCCATGAATTTGTCCTTCAGTACTGCTGTTGCATAAACAGCAGTAATGATGATCACCTTAATGCATAATGAGATAAATAGTTTAATACTGAGAGTCACATACATTGTGCATCACTTCTGCGGTCTTTACAGAGCAACATACTGATGTTTGCTCCTGCAAAACTTCAAAAGTCTTTATGTGTGAATTTCCTTATAGTGTGTATTACAGTATGTCACGTGAATGATAAACATATTACAAAATATGTCTACTTTCTGTCTTTGAACAGGGAAGGACATGGTAAAATTTCCGTTTTTGCAGTCAAAATGGCCTTGGCAACTCTTTGTGGAGGAAAGATAATGGACAAATTAAGATGTAAGTATTTTGGGTCTTATTTTTTACCCGTTAATCGTTGTTTTATTTAGAGATACAATAGTACAGGCAGGGAGAAGGAGGAATTAGGGTAGGTTATAGTTTCATTGCTGGGTTTGGGATTTGCACTGTATGCACCTGCATGAAAATCCCGCTAAAAGTTTGACTGAATGTCACAGAACATTTCATGTTTTTGAGACCACACTGCATATATTCAGGCTCTGATCAGTGAACATCTGATTTTTTTCCTTTGGGATGATTAAATGCAGAGTATAGTCAAGTGCCTCAAATGTTCATCATGAAGCATCATTTAGCAATTTCTTAGGCTTTTTTTTTAAAAAAAAAAAAAAGAACATCTCATTTCACACTTAGAAGTACAATATATTTACTCACTATTTATATTTCTTCCCATAGGGCACATATTAATTCCATCTATTCTGCAGAATGGATTCTCATTTCACAGGACTTACTTCAGTTTCCAATCAGCTAAGATACATTTTACACACAGCAGCAAGGAAAAACTTCATGTTCAGTGATGTGATGTCTGTAATTCATATCCAGAACAACATTTTCCAAACATTTTTACCAAGGGGTTAAGATTAACCTCCAGTTTCCTCTGAGCCTTCTACCACAGCCAAAGAAAATTGAATTTACAAACTGCTGTTGGTTAGAATAGGACAGTAGAAATTCCAGATGCAAATTTAGTCTTCCAGATTTGGTGCCATTTTTTTAGTATACAGTTTCTATGTAGAGATTCAAATACAGAGCCACTGTAAATTCATCAGTGTTCTCTAGGCTGTTTTAAGGATAAGGAGCAGAGTGCATCCAGTGGAAGATTGGGGAATGATGTTAATTTTTCCGGTAGCAGTCTCAAGGTTCTGTCACCGGGATCTTCATTCCAGCTTCCTAGAAATGAAGCAGCTGACATCACAGCCTGGAAAATGATAGATATTGCTTAGTCAATGATCCCATGATTGGCTTAGGATCCTTTGAAACCAGAGGGAAAGTAATGGCTGAGAAAACAGAAACCTGCATCTCTGGAGCAATAAAACGATGTAATATTTTTCTACGAGAACAAAAAAGTTAAGCAGAGAAAAGAATAGAAAGGATTGTATTTGAAAGAGCTTCACTGTTTTGTGTGTCCAAAACAATGTTAATTAACTTAATGAGCTTGTTGTGAAGATTTAAATTTGACAGGGTAAGCTGGCAGTAGGAAAAAAAGCTGATGTTGCGTATCTTGTCAAATTAGATCCTTCTTATCTGATTAAATTGCTGCCTCATGTCATGCATCAGATTCCACTTAGAAGATGACCACACACAATGAAAAAAAAAGCAGGAATATTTTCATATCAATATCAGCTTCTTTGTTTATATGTAAATCATTCTCTTTGTATTCTACTGAGTAGGATTATAATAAAAAATGCGGTAATAGTGACTGTTTCCATAAGCAGAACATGTTGTTCAGCACTTCTTTTTCAGATCAGATAATACTGAATTAGGAGCAAATTTGAAGCTCAAACTGAAATTGCTGTGTCTTTTTCTTGTCTTTTTTTCTCCTCAGATATATTCTCAATGATTTCAGACTCCAGTGGAGTGATGGTTTATGGCAAATACGACTTGTTTCTGCGGGAAGTTCTCAAGCTGCCCACAGCTGTTTTCGAAGGGCCTTCATTTGGTTATACTGAGCAATCAGCAAAATCTTGTTTCTCACAACAGGTAAATGAAGAACGAGTGTCCTCAACACAGGCTTTCAGTCACACCTCAGAGCAGGCTGAGGCTTTCCTCCTTTCTTACGTAGAGAAACACATGGCTGGATGGAGATTCAGTTTGCTTATTGCTGGCATGCAGGTTAGCTACACATAGTGGGAATCTAGTCTCTATAGGTTCCCTACATAGTCACCAAGGAGGGAGCAGCTTTGCCAAAAAGTAATTCAGAGCAGGAGACCCTGTAGAGACTGAATTCCTAATCTAATCACTGAAGTTAAATGCAAACTCCTATGTAATGTGAATACCCCAAGACATGCTGTCTCCCACTGCAGTTAGTTGTTGTTGCTGCAACATATGTGAAACTTTAGCTTCACCATACAACTCTCATCAGAAAATCAAACTACATGCTTTCCAAGTGACGATGTGCACACACAAAAAGTTTACAAGGGAGTAGAAGTATTTGCCTTCAGCATTTATTGAAAATGGAATTCTGTAGGTACTAGAAAATCCCTAGTCCCATACAGATACTATCAGGAAAACAGTGAGGTTATCCTGAAGAGAGCACAAGATTTGCCACACTTCACCAGGTTGTGTAGGCACACTGAATACACCACTTTGGCAGCAGCTAAAATCAAACTCTTATTTCCCATAATCGGGGCTGGGTATCCACTTCTCCAATAGAGTGGAAGGAGAGAGATCCTCTGGCACTTGCTATGCAGCACACTGAGTAATGCCATAAATCTAGCAGAAGGCAAGATGCTGAAACTAGGAAGAGGTTAGAAATGAAATGTTATTTTCTTTCGTTACACTCATTACTAAAGCGTAACTGAATGCTGTTGAACAAATGGAGCAGGAATAGTGTCATTTCCATGCAAAAGTCTCATTTTTTATTTTCCTTCAGTTTCATCACTAATCAGTAGGCTCTCCAGTAAACTGAAAGACATTGTTGAAATTCGTTTATTGAATCATCTCCCAAATGATTTTAAATGGTGATGCTTGCATATGTGAAAATAGTCTTGTTTCACAGTGGGAGATTTAGAACAGCACTTCTTATTGTCTTGAAGAATAGGAAAGTGACTTTTGGTAGTTTTGATTTAAAATAATAAAAAAGTGCTCTTGCATGGCAACAGAACATTCAAGCTTTGAACATTGAACATGATACTATGAAGATCAAAAATTAGTTTCTTCTTTTTCCTTATATTGTAATTTAGGCCTCATTTTCTATTCAAGCAGCCATGAGGGCAATGGGGCTTTCATTGACACTGCATCCAAATAAGAGTGGACCACGCATATTAAGCTACCCTGAGAAAAATTGATCACAGAATCACAGAATTGTAGGGGTTGGAAGGGACCTCCAGAGATCATCGAGTCCAACCCCCCTGCCAAAGCAGGTTCCCTACAGCAGGTCGCACAGGTAGGCATCCAGGCAGGTCTTGGACATCTCCAGAGAAGGAGACTCCACAACCTCCCTGGGCAGCCTGTTCCAGATCCTCCAAACAGTCATTAGAAGGTTTAGTTCCAGACTAAACAGACTCCATTTAAAGCCACCAAGAGTTAGGTCTCTGAGTAATGTCAGTATGAAGTGGATTTACAAAGTCTGCATCTCTAAACAGCCAAGTGTTCTTGTAAATCTAGTCCAGTAATTCACTTATGTTCACTCTATGCAGTTCTCATTCAGTCATCACTAGGAATGAACAGGAGTTTTGAAATGTGAGTCTGAGCAATGTATCCATGTGACACTGTGATAAATGGTAGCCACAGTCTTTGTCACACCAAAGGTCATTCTTTCACCATCTCATATTACACTTAGTGTACCTGGGGATAAGTTCAACATTCTTTCTGTTGTTTTAAGCATTCCTGAACTTCAGATATTTTTTCTATTGTAGTTAATAAGCTATATAAGTAGAAACAATTACCATTTATTTTTAAGCAATGGATGTTTGCATGTATTAGTACCATATGTTATATTCAGTATTGTTTTTAAAGTTTCAAGTGAGGGAGTTTGATTTTATGCCCACTAGGTTGTATATCCAAGGAGATCGATGTATTAACATGTTCACCCTGATATTCCAACACATTTTTGCTGTATTTGTTTTTTTTCCTTTTTTTTTTGTTATATAGTTGTGTGTTTCAAAATACCACTTTCCTGAGCAAACCTGATCATTTCACTAAGAACATGATTAGGTTGAACTATTAATTTGAAAAAAAATTCTTAGAATGTTATTGCAGAAATGACCCTCCTATTCTATATTTTTTTCATGAGCCAACCAGTGCAGCAACCAATGGGAACATTAAGTTTCAGCTACTGGAATATCATGTGGTAGTTAAGAAATTCAGGCTTAGCATTCAGCACAGACCGGCTTCAAGATTACCGCTTCTGGTTAAAGTTATAATAATAAATCAGACTCATCTTTGAAAACAGTTTTTAAGTGCCTTACAAACAGTTTGATGTTTTTCATTGCAGTACATACAACACTGCAAAAAAATACAGTCCTCTATCATCTCCTTATTGTCTAAAAAAATTGAGATGGCAGATTCCAAACAATATGAATGTTTTCTTTTTATCCACAGCTAGGAAGTTACACTGATGGTATGATGGCTGTCTCTGGACATTTTTGTGTAAAAAATAATTGGTATTTTGTTTATTCGTAGAAACACACATCTAATTCTTGGCGTAGACCTTGCCTTCCCTAGGTCAGAGCATTCAGGTGTATTATTGACTCAGTACACCTGTTCTGCTATAGAAGAGAGACCTCGCACACATTTACATGAGTCATCTTTTTTTTTCCATAATACTTCAATGCATTTTGTGCCTGTTTACTTCTAGCCGTTCTCCCCACGCCCCCAGAGTGATAATGCAGGGGACTGGGGTGCTCTGTTAGCCACTTCCATTTGTTCTCATCTTGATCTACCAGAAGCAGCTCAACCCCATAATAAGCAGATTCCTAAATGTCGTGGGAATAAAAAAATTCTGGGAATAATCTTCTGCTTGTGATGCCAAATCCATTTCATTTTGCCTCTGAAAGGAATTTACCTATTGCAGAAATGTTTATTTCTTCTCCATTGTACTCATTCATTTGATTAAACCACGTGCATTCCTCTGTCTTTGAACCACTGCTAGAGGGAATGACTGATCAAAATAGAAACAGCATTTCCTCATCAGCAAATTTATGGAATTTATGGAAATGCCAGGCAGAGGAAATGATTTAGTGTTTCAGAATGTGGATCTGTGGCTCAAAAAGGAGATTGGTTTTTTTTTTTTTGTATTTTACCACTTTCCCCCATGGGTAGGATTAACGTGATATTACATTGTATTCATGTTAAAAAGTGCTATGATGCTAAAAGCATATTTTTTAATTTCTCTTTTTATACCAAACTAAAAAAAAAAAATAGGCACTAACTTCATTTTCTTATCACTTGGCTAAGTGTTATTCCACAAATCCAGACTCCATCTGCATGTGATATATATTTAGAAAACAACTTTCTCTTTTTATTCTCCTAGCAGCTGATAAAAACTGCAGAAGGAAGCATGTCTTCTAAAATGTATGGAAATTTTTCTGCCGGTGCCCTTTCAAGGGCCACTGCTCTCTGTAATCCATAAAACCAGTGATCATCAGAGGAATGATGATCTCCATACAGCTCCTCCAGGCCGTAAAGCTGTCGGTGAAGCTAACTTGTTTTAGTTGCCACTGTTTGAAATTATAGTTGCATGCAAAAGCTGTATCTGTTGTGGAAGAGCTGTTCTTGTCTCCCCATCTATTTGCTTGCTTAGAACACTTGTGGATGCACTGTCAACTTACCTCCCAGCAAGAGCAGAGAGGAGACAGGTTCTGCTTGGCCCTACAGCTGAGGCATTGGAGGACCCCGTTATTCCCTGATTTGTTCATCCACTTTGGGGTGGTCATCCATACAACAAGCAGGTGGTACCTAAGGTGATAGCGCATTGACATAGGCTGGCTTGGGGGACTGGCAGAGCTTTAATTACCCTTACTAGACTGTATGTTTGGACTTTCATACTGCAAGCATGGCAGGGAAAAGGCTGTATTTCATTAAGAGTTAAATCTCATATTCCAGCTACTTGTGTTCTTTAAAGAATCAAGACTGTTTTCACAAATAGCCTAAGGTATTTTCTCTTGTCTTAGGGATAGAAACCCTTATATATTTCCCAATATCTTGCAATATTTCAACCTCGAGATTGCTCCAAAGTGCAGAGTTTTCCACTGATCACTCAGTGTAGAAGACAAATATTGATTTTCTTTACATCTCACAGCAATTGTATCTAAGTGCAGCTGAGGCACTCCATCTGAAAATTTCAACTCCTAAAAGCACTCCACTACGCATGAAGGTAATATACGTCATTGCATAGCTGCTGTTGTCCTTTCTGATGAGGATTACCACCCTTCTCCAGCAAGTTAAGGCTGTGCTTACTCAATCAAATATGAAAACTTAGCAATCACTTTGGATTTGGGATGCCACTTAAATACATATATTTATAAATTACACCTGCACATATTCTCAAGAGGACTCAATATTTTTTATCTTAATCTTATTTTAAAGGAAGGCTCAGTTTCTGATTTCTTAAGGACTCTCTCTCTTGGACCAACCAGTAACTGTGTACTTTAGTACTCTTTCTATAGCTAATGTACTACATAGGAAAGTGAAAGGACTTATGGAAGAGATATCTGAAGCTGAAATATGACCTGTAGGTCTGAAAAAACTACTGAACTAAGGTTTGTGTGACTCCAGACATCTAAGAAACTTAAGGCCTGATATAAGATTGTTAAATCAACAAGGATATTTTGGAGTTGAAATCTCTTTGAAAGATAGAGTGGTGTAGTGCTTATAGGTATAGAGAGTTAATGTTTTCATGGTCAGAGCTCTCCCACAGCCACTTACCATGGCCCAAAGGCTATGACACAATCTGCTGTGATGATCTGCCCATATCTTATGTTGTTTTCTGAACTTATACTCCCTTGTCATTTTTTTTTTCTTTGTTGGACTATCATCCATTCTTTGCTGACTGTTAGCTATGCACAGCGATACCCTACATTCATTTGTATTTTTAGAGGGTACTCAAAACATGTGAGAATGGAACTGTGAATTTTATTCACAAAGGATCTTCAGGGATGACTTTAGAAGACTCTTCTAATAAGTGGGAACTAGGAATCTCCAACGCAGCCTCGTGAAAGTCATTAGTAATACAAATTCTGACTCCTAAAAATAATCCATGTTTCCTAGTGTCAGTTGTCTTTTTCACTAGACCAAGGTTACAAGAGTGTCTGAAGCTTGTTCCCAAGTGTTTCTCTAAGAACACGATGTAATCGTGTTGATACATCTGATTACTGATTCTTTGTACATGTTTGTTTTCTTATTTGAGCAGAAAAAAGTCACGTTAAACACTTTCTTGGATACTCTCATGTCTGATCCCCCGCCACAGTGTCTGGTGTGGTTACCACTTCTGCATCGGCTGGCAAATGTGGAAAATGGTAAGTAAGAGCTGTTGACAAAAAAAAACAACACTTTACTAGAGTAAGCTTCTGTGGGAGGATTTTCTCACTCTGGGGTTGATTTTGTAGGAGCTACTGTACTGTGTTCATTAATTCCATGTGCTATTTTTACAGTTACTGGTAAAATACTTGAAGAATCCTGTTGGTTCTTCAGCCAGAAACAGGCTACTCTACTTGCTTTAGCAAGGGGCTTGGACTAGTTGATCTCCAGAGGTTCCTTTCAACCCCTAAAGTCCTGTGATTTTGTGGAGACGTTTTGCTGTGCTCTGGAAATTATCCTGATCTTGTCCACTCCTCCTGTGCTCTGGATAAGCAAAGGATGATAGGATTTGATCCATTCACATACTTCAAGGCCACAGCTTTTATTAGCTGTGACATATGGCAGTAGTGGAGGAACATCTTGGCAGTTTCTGTTCATGTGATATTCTTGGCAACAGAAGGGCAGTGCAGTGCAGAATACCAAGAGGCCTATGCTGCCAGGCAATATACTATGAAAAGGAGCAAGGAAGTTGCAGATTCATCCTTACGTTTTTGGTTTTTTTTGCGTGGAAGATGAGGATTAACTGTCAGGTGGCTCTTTTTCCATAAAGGATTGTTCTTCCCCAAAATGAGTAGATGACAGACGTTAAGACGGGAAAGGGTCGTGAAGATTGGCTACTTTGGTTATTGCGTTGAACACATTGCTTTTCTCTGGACAGAAACGTCTGTCAGACTTAAAACTCCTTGAGCACCTTGGCAGTAGTCCATGCTCACAAATGAGGAGTCCTCCAGCCAAACCCTTCATATATGATTTCTCTAGGACACAGACAGTGCTGCCATGCTGAAAGTGCAGGGGCAGAACTGGAAAGTCTGCCTTCTCATTTCAGTGAGCAGCCACTAAATTGCACCCCACAAACTGTACAGTTCCTCATGTGCTTCTGGAAGAGTTTCTCAGCTCCAAACCAACATGCTGCTGCTGTCCAGACTGACCAACACTGCCAATATTAAATAGACCACAAAAAGACAATACAAGGAATGCCTGTCTTGTTTAGGTGTACTTGTTCTTAATAAAGGGGCATTTCTTGCTCACTGGCATCAGTGCTGACAGGCATTATTCCAGTACTGTTAAACCTAGAAAAAGGGAAATGTAGAGTAAGAAGTTTATACTAAAACAAAATCCACATTAAAATACTAATTATGCTTTATAAATAGATTTTTTTGTAAATAATTTTTCAGCCCAGTGTTTTGCCTCTGAGGTTGCTATGTAAGGGGCTTGTTGAATATTCCTGTGTTCCTGCTTCTCAGAAGGTTTGCCTCTAGCATAACTGAAGCTTTGAGACAGTGCAGGGGTGAAGAAGCAAGGCTCTGAAAGCAGAACAAATCATATATATACTCACACTGTTGGGAAATAAAAGTATTCGTCATGTATTTCTCACAAGTAAACGAGCCTGGAGGAAGTTGAGATCTCCAGCCATTTTGGTGATAACAAGAGACAGAGGACTTTGTACATCCTCTTGTACTAATTCCCCTTTCCACTTAAAGGCATGAAGGTGGATGAGGTGACAGTCTTAAGTCCTCCTTGGCTACAGAGCCAGCAGACAACCCCACCTTCCTCCAATTTTTGTCATCCCTCAGCTTCCTCCTGCTCTCCTCATCCATCCCTGTCCCTTATTGGCTTTGCATCATTTCCCAGCCTTGCGCACAGACCCTTCCTGCTGCGAAATTCTGGCAAGGAAATGAAACGCTGACATACTTAGACTGGTCTAAATCCTCCCAGACTGAACCTCAGGAGGGAAGAGCAGGTGTTTGGTTAGAAAGAGAAGTACAGTGTCTTATGGTAAGTATGACACTTGGTGCAGTGAGGAGAGAACACACATAGCAGAAGTGCCAGGAGAGGGGTTCAGAATGTCCTGACTGGTGCCTTAGTGTGCTCAGTGCTTGAATCCTCATTTCTGCCTGCTTCTGAGGGGAGCAGAGAGCAGGACCAAGCTGGTCCCTTCAATGGCCACATTTCCAAAATAAGACATCCAAAGCCAATTCTGTATGCCTAAGTGACATCAGCTGTACAGACGAGACAGAGGTAATAAGGGGCAACTTTATGCCTGAAGACACTGCTGTGCTTGGAGTAACTGGGCAGTGAGCCTGACATATTCTCTGGGACCCATTGCTGTACCTCCTGATGGCACAGCAAAACATTCAGCTTCCCGCAGCAGTGTAGCCGAAGGCTGCAGGGGATTATCTCACTTGTGTATTTCCTCTATATTCTCTTAAATACAGTTAGAACGTATTTCTTTCTGATGCAAGCAGAGACACAGGTACCTGTCCAGCAAAAGTCAGAGGCTTAGGGCTCACGGCTCAGGCCAGATTCATGGAAGGGCACATGAATTTTTGTACATAGAGCTCAATGGGTCAGAGCACAGACAGCACCTGATGTCACAGATTCCTAGGGAGAAAAAAAAAAAATTCACTCTTCCATTCAGAGATTTTTCGCATCTGCTTTTTCTTGGGTTCCTCTGCTTGGGGTTAAAGCTTGGCATCTCTCTCCCACAGTCTTCCATCCCGTTGAGTGTTCCTACTGCCACAGCGAGAGCATGATGGGGTTCCGCTACCGCTGCCAGCAATGCCACAATTACCAGCTCTGTCAGGACTGCTTCTGGAGAGGCCATGCCAGCGGTTCCCACAGCAACCAGCACCAAATGAAAGAGTACACGTCATGGGTAAGGGGAGGCTTGTGCCTGGCCGCGGGCGCTTTGCCTTGGGTGGGGGCTCCCGGCAGGGACTGCCGGTTGGGATCAGCAGCCTGTCGGGGAAGGTGCACCCAGGGAGCTGGTGGGAGAGCACAGAGGTAGGAGCAGACTTTCTGGAGTGTGCATTCAGGGTGGGTGTGTGACAGCCGTGCTGCAGACCTGCAGTGCCAGGGGCCCAGAGCAGAGCGCCAGCTGCACAGTAAGTCCTCCTGCTCCCATGGGACTGTCCCCAGCTGTCTCTGTTGGGCACTGCTGGCTCTCTGTAGGTGGAGTGGCTTAATGCTGGCTCATCAGTATTTTAAGCCAAGTGGCTGCAGCATATATGTAGATTTTGGGGTAGTCCTGGCATGGTAGATTTGAGCGTGATCGTAGGCTTAAATCTATCCATGGCAGTGTTTATTGTGGAGAAAAGCAGACTTCAGCCTTTTTATCATTAAATACTTTTTCTAAGCTGGCATAGAAGCACTGACAGCTACCTTACCCTTTTCAGGGCATCAGGTGTGCTGGCTGCACTCTCCCGGGGTTGGAGACAACCCTTGGTCCCTGAGCCTCCCTGTCCTTCAGGGTGCTCAGCCAGAGACCAGCAGACAAATCCTGGCTGATCTCTAATACAACAAAAGTGTAATCGTTGTAAAAGAAAATGATAAGTGAGGCAACAACTTACACACAAACAGTGCTTTTTGTATGCTTCTTAACAAAGCTCTGAAATTCACAACTATAAAGCAGCAGTCTTACTGTTGATGGAGCCAGCAAGGGTTAAATCTGATGTGATTTGCTCTGCATGCCAGTCACGTGGCCCTGCACTGCCTCAGAGCAGATCTGGGTCTGTGAATGTTTTTGTGGGTCTTAATTGCTGCTTTTTGCATAGACACAATGACTCGAGCTTGGTCTCTGAATAAGGGAATGCCAGCTACCTAGCTCTGGCTCCACTTACAGCAATCTGTGCTATAAAACCATTTTTGGCTGTAGCAGGAGAACTGTAGTTATAGGCAAGAAATCATTTTGACACGTAAGATTTCTGCTCAACAGAAGAGAAAACACGACTATACCTTATGGTTTCAAATGTCTCATAGTCAGAAACAAACATTTTCCTGCAAGTATGAAATAGCCTTTCTACAGTGATCATTAGCATTCATTCAAAACAGGTTAGTGTTATCTATAATAAATCTATATCAAGCTCTACATGCAGGTTAAAGGTTTTAATATATATGGTGGAGATCAACTGATTTGAATTCAGAGTAAAATTTCATTTATAATATGAGAGAAAAAGCCTGAATTTTATATATTTAGATTGAAATTGTGTAATAGAAATATTTCATTATTACATTGATTACAGTAATAACTTTATGTGGCATGCATGTACACATGTACACGTGCATATATATATATACCTCTCTTGCTACCTTTTCAAAGCACTTCTAAATTTCATCCTGCTGAGCTGTTTTTTTTGTGGGGGAGGAAAGGTTGTAAGGATCATCAGCCCGGGTTTACCTGGCTGAGAAGCTGAGTCACAGAGAGGTGAACTGGATTCCCCAAAAATCTCTCACAAAACCTAAAAGGGATCCTCAGTCTCCAAGCTCATTTTTAAGAAAGGGTTCAACTGCAAGGAGTGCTCAAGCAAAACTAAAGCAGAGTGTGTTGATTTTTTAGATGAGTACTGTTGAAGATGAGTGAGATTTGAGGCTGGAACTCATGCTTTCTGCACAGAGCCCTTCAGTCTTTTGGTGGCAATGACAGTATGTCAGCTTCTTCTCACATGCTGTTGGTACGATTCTGGCCAGATTTGTGTGAAATTTCCCATGTCCTGGTTCATTCACCTGTGTAACCAGGGAGGTGAAGATAAGCTTTATAGCAATAAGATGCTGAGCCGAGGAGGGAAACACTCATGAAAAGGAGAAAGAATGTATTAACTTTGTAGCTGGCCCCCAGCTAGAAAGTGGATGGTGTCTTGTACAGTACTATACAGACAGGCACAAACAGATGGGTTCAGCTGACATTGCCAGCTGGTGAGGTGTAGCCAGCTCCAGCCTGAGAGACCTCCCTTTGTACTGCTCTACCTTCAGTTTTTCCTGAGCACAGCGTTGCAGGGACCAATGGCAGTTGCACCTGTCTGTATAGATAAACCCCCCCAGAGCCTTCTCTGAAGGCAGCTGAAGGTAAGAGCAATCTTTTTTCCAATCTGAACGGTCTTTGGCTTACCAGAGTGGGGCGGGAGGAGACGGGAGAATGTCAGTCATATTGATGTAAGCAGTAGAGCTTCCTGTTGTTTTGTGCATCCTACAGCAGAAACAGTTTGCACCTTACTTGTCCACATTACCTCTACCTTCCTTATTCCTCCCAGAAATCACCTGCTAAGAAGCTAACTAATGCACTTAGCAAGTCTTTAAGCTGTGCTTCCAGCCGTGAACCTTTGCACCCAATGTTCCCTGACCAGCCTGAAAAACCTCTAAACCTGGCTCATATTGTGTAAGTATCTGTGTGCTCTAGAGAAACTAAGCTTTGTTGTGGGGCTTGCTTACGCCTAGTCTAGATGGTATAGCTCTCAATAGAGCAGGAAGCAGCTGTGTCATTACCAATGCATCACAAGTGCAAATCTGCTGATAGAGATAATTACTACAAAAATGTGCTTCTGGTGTGTCTTCACTAGAAGGCTGGTGAAATATGTACATATGATCAAGTATGGGACACAATGGTGATGTGTCCCTGTTCCCTTCAGAAGTAGAGTAGATGCAATTTCATACAGTTTCAGCACTGTGGGATGTGTTCATGCTCAGAACATGATGTGGTTTTAGAAGTCTTCCAAGGCCTAAAAGTTCTTTAGACTAAAGATGCTCCAGCAGCTAGGCAGTGCCAAGTTGCTGTAAGGCTCAGCTGTCACCTACTGCCTGCACAGCTCCTCGTGGAGGTGCTCTTTGGAGCACGTCAGCCAGAGATGGATTTGCTGAACTATCTCTCTGCCCTGCCTGGTGTGAAAGCCTGGCTGTGCTGGTTGAGGCAGCGGTAATGTCACAGGGCAGAATTGGGCCATTCATGTCTCAAGGCAGACTTGGAAAGCCAGGAAGCATGGAACCAAAACAGAAGCCTCTATTCCCTGGTGGCAGAGGGCCTCTGAGGCCTCAGGGCGTGTTGGAAGGTGGCAGCAAGTAAAAGCTGGACTGCTGTGAGTAGGCTGAGTGCAGTTAGGTAAGGGAAGAAGAAGGTACTGTAATTGATTAGGATCTGTTCCAAGTCTTTGCTGCGAAATTAACACCTTCCCTTCTTCCTAGCTATATAGGCATAATTTAGAGTGATTGGATGTGAGAATGAGCCACCATCTATTTTGTTTTATGATAGAATTTCTCTTTATCCGTAGATTGAAGGCAATATAGCTATATTGGCTATAATGGGATGTGAATGAAAAACCTGTAAGTTGTGGAGGTAGCATGATCTACAGCATAATTCACATAAATTAACTGAGGGGAGAAATATGCCACGGTATCTCATTGAGAATAACTTCTTGCCAATGTGATTTTTATTTTTAAACATGATGGAAGTTGAGAGAAACAGCTCTGGGCGAGAATCCAGGCAAAAAGGTTTTTATACGTGCATTTAATGGAAGAATTCTGGCAACAGAACATATCCTTTTTTTAGTAGTTTCTTCCTTAAATGAGGACAAATACTCTCTGCATTACTATACTATCTTTGCTGTTTATCGTTCTTTCACTTAGAAGTGGTAGCAGACAGAAGGGCGGCAGGATTTTTCTCTTTTACTGGAGCCACACAAGATTTTCAATTAAGTAATGTATCTAAGGCTCATTTTGAATAGTTTTCATTGTGTAGTTAATCTGATGGAGGAATTACTAAGGGGAGATTTTACTTTTCTATAGCTAAGATTGGCAACAAAAAGGGCACCGTAGCCTGCAGACAAGTGGCTTGATCAGAGGGATTTTCAAATACATTCTGCAGTGTCCTAACATTGTTTGCATCCAAGCCAGTGGGAGCATTATTTTTGACATTGCTAGAATAGATTAGACAAGCAAGGAGCACTTTGTAAAATTCCTGTTTTTATTTTTTTCTTTTACTATGGTCGCATGTTAGGCTATTGCGTGCACTGTGATGTAGCATTTTTAAGTTGTAGTGTTTTAAGTGTTTCTGCCTCCTTGAGAAAGTTGATTGAGTATCACCAGTTCACTTTTATCAGAGAGCATAATCACTCACTTTCAAAAGTTTAGAAATAACCTCTGAGAGATTTGCATTTATAATCAGTAGGTAATAGTTTTCCTTTGTTTTACCACAAGGGATGCTCTTCTTGTTTTACCATGTCACCAGCTTTTATAGGTCTTTGTAGCTGTGTTTGAACATCCATTTGAAGCTAAACCTGAGGAATGTGACAGTGGGCATCAACCTTGCAGAAACATGACTTGGGAAAGTCAGATTCATTTTAAGTTTTCTTGATATAAGAATTGACAAACAAATGTTAATCACAAAAGTTTAGCAAAGCCTTAGAATTTAGAGACATCTGTACACAAGAGTAACTCTGCATATATTAGCAGCATCAGTGACCTTTTATGCATAGCGGCTATCTTGGTTTGTACAAAATCAGGGCCATAGGAAGGGAGATTGTCCAATGCTGTACTTAAATCACATATTTTTCAAACTAGCAATTTAATTAATTTTCTCTTTTCCATTTCATTTTGGCTGCAAAAGAGATACTTGGTGAGTATTTTTCTTCTTTCGTACACTTGTTGGAGGAAAATAGCTTGAAAAAATTCCATGATCTCATTACCAATCCCTAACTTTTTATAAGAGTCTTCAACACAATCATTGTCTTTGAATGCAAAGACATATTGAAAGGAAAGAACTTTGCTAGGATTTAGAAACCTTCCCTTCCACCCTGGCTTTGAGATAAAACTTAGAAAAGACATGAACCTGAAGCATGGATGTAATGATCTGCTGAATTTCATGGATGCAGCGTACGCACTTCCACATGATCAGAAGGAGTGAATGGAGTGCCAGGAAGAGTGGAACTCAAGCTCTCCCAAACCTGTCCTGCCTCCTCTCTAGAGGAGCATTGGAAGACAGCCCCTCCTCCTGTCCTCTTTGGCATCTAGGACTGCATAGCCTTGGGCTAGACCCATCTTTCAGAAAAGCTACCCAGTTAAGAGTTTGAATGTATTTGCTGAACAGTGGTTACACTGTGAAAATTGAGAAAGCAGCAGATCAGTATTTGTTCCTAAATAATTACAGTTTCCAGCCAACAAATCACCAGTTGTTTACCCGTTAGTTTCCAAGTATTGTCTCCAAGTTTCTTTTCAAATCTCTGTATCACAAGGCTCATCTTACAGAGACCTTGCCGTTATTATGGAATCGTACACCATGGCCTCACCCAAACTCTTCCTAGCTCTGATGAAGCAGTTTACAGAAAATAATACTGAACACTATTTCATCCAGAGATAATTACATAGGACACACAGAATCACAGAATGGGCAGGGTTGGAAGGGACCTCAAGGATCATGAATCTCCAATCCCCCTGCCACAGGCAGGGCCAACAACCTCCACATTTAATACCAGACCAGGCTGCTGAGGGCCCCATCCAATCTGGCCTTGAACACCTCCAGGAACGGGGCATCCACAAAACAATTGCTCCTAAAACAAATTTCTTACTGACTAGATCTGCAATTTTGCCCCTGGGTCTGAAGACACTGGCTAAAAACTATGCTGTCCCATAAGTATGCAGAATTCTACATCTTGCTATTTCCAGCTTCAAATTTCTGTCCAATCAGTGTGGTATTTTTGTGCTAAGAAATCCATTGATACTCACCGAAAAGGTATTTGTGCTTGTTTTTGAACGGTTACAAAGTAAGAATGAAAATATATATTAATAGTTCACTTCTGTGCAGAACTGTTTTTCTTTGTTTCTTACAAAGAGTTTGAAAAATTTGAAAAAATTGAATTTGCAAAATTCAGAAAGCAAGACAGATCTTCCACAGAGCTTAAAGGGAATCATGACCAACTTGAAATCTAGGCAGTTTACAGCCCTGATATCTGCTTATATCTGAAAAGCCTGTGATTTAGTATCATATTTTCTGTTCTTTCCAAAGCATCCTTGTCTTTTGCCTAGTGTTGTGTAAAAAGTCCATTAAGAAGGGAAAAATTTGCTTTGATGGACACAAAAAAAAAAGATTATGCACAAAATGTTTTTAAGAGGAGACAATAAAAGAAAGCAGAGGAAATATTCTTTCTCATTTCATTTTTAGTAAGAGTGGGAAATAAAAAATGTAATAATAAAACCATCATTATTAATAGGTCCTTTTAAACTAGAAACTGATTTGAAATTTTGATTTAGGGGTTTAATAAACCCCAGTTGAAAAGCTTTGCACTTAAGGCAGTTTTGCACTACAAGTATTTTATGGGACACTGAGGCGTATGGATACACTGTGGTCTCTGTGGGGATATGGAGCACAGTGCTGTGGATAAATCTGAGAAAAGCTGTATAATTTATTGGCAATGGCCTCGTGCAAACCTCTGTACTGCCACAGCTAACCTGCTACTGGTGCTCAGCCTGGCTAGTTGAATGCACTGTCTGCATCACAAACTACAAGCTCTGGAAAGAGTCAGTTTGCCGAATCAGGAACAAAATCAAGAGAATTGCTTAAAACTCCCTCGGAACACATAAAATTACTATTTCCTGCTGGACCTAAGTAACAATGTGTTTTTATCAACTTTTCATTAAAAACACAGCATCATTAATTTTGAATTAATACTTAAAACAGACGATGCCAGCCGTATTGTTAATTTAAACAAGAAACTTATGTAATTCTCTGTAAATACTGTTGCTGTTTGATTGTTCTGTACCGAATGAATGCAACTAGATATTTTACCTTCCTTTAGGCCCCCCCGACCTGTAACCAGCATGAACGACACACTCTTCTCCCACTCTGTTCCCTCAGGAAGTCCCTTTGCCAACAGAAGGTGAGTTGTTATTTTAGTTTATGTTAAATCACTAGATGAGGGTGGTAGAGGTTTCCACTTTTGATTTCCCTCCTCAAAGAAGGCAAAATAAAATTAGCAGATGTGAGCAGAAAAATACGCAGATATCCAAGTGGAGAGACGGAGAAGGGGCACTCCAAACTCCTCACAATTGAGTGCAGAGCTCTGGTTCTTATTTGGATTCTCAAGTTCTACTAAATCTGCTCAAATGCAACTCAGTAATCCGCTGACAGAGGCTGAAAATGGGCCTCTGTAGACATTTTGTAGATGTTAAAGCAGTGTGGGTACAGAAGTTGGGGCATACCATTACCTACTAGGAGTGATTGCATCATACTGCAAGATGTGATATAAATAAAGGGAAAATGTGTTGATTCTTACAACATCGCAAGGCATCCTTCTGTTAAGCCATTCAGATTTTCTCTAAAGATTACAAGAGAGAAAAGACTGTCTTGGAATATGGTGAGTGTTTGGGGAACAGTACAGAGAGGGGCAGTCAGCAACATTAATCCCAAAGAAAAGGTGCTTGCAGCTGAGTGTGTACATTTTGGCCCAGTATTTTGGCTCATTATGTCCAAAATACATATGTAGCATCTGCTGGCTTTTTCACCCAATCTCTGTGTAAGCTTACCAATGTACATAGATGAAAAAGTGGCAGAAAAATAACATCTTGCTATGCTGGGGAAGATGAGTGCTATGTCTTCCTCAGGTGCATTTTGTTGCCTGGTCCTTGCTGTATTTGTCTGTGCTTCAGTGTTCCCTAATGACCAAACACAATCTCTGGGTATGTGTGGATACCTTTTCTAACAGAATAGAAATCCTCAGTGTACAACACTGAAATGTCAAAGTAAAGATGTATGGTTACTACTTTGATTTATGGACTTCAGTACTGGGAGCTATAAACTGTAAACTCTCATTGTTATCTTAGTGCAGAAGGCTGCTGGGTACATCTGAAATGCTTTTTGAAAGCCGGTCCCAAAGCAGCCCCTTAGTCTGCTGCCTGCACAAACAGTGTGACTGCAAATGCATATTTGTTTCTAGAGTTGGCATATGTGGGATTTTATGTTCTGGAGCAAGGCAGAATAATGTTATCTGTGGCTTCTCCAAGACAGGTCATTAAAATCAGTGCTCTCTAAGAGTATAGCTGTTGCTTCTATTTATGCCCAGGAAGTCCCTTTCAAAAGAAGTACACTTTGCCATGTATGTCAGCAACCTGCAGGAATAATTACAGCACAGTTTTCTGTGCAACATTTATTTTTTTATGTGTGAAAAATTCCTGATAATTTTACTTTTGTCTTCTTCAGTAGTTCAGCTGACTGCCTAAATGTCAGGATTAAATGTAGGTAATTTCTGGGCCATTAGAATTATTTTCCTTCTGGAGGAAGAACTGATTGACGGAGAATCCTCTGAAGGCAGGAGGCAAAACCCACAACCATAGGTACTCAGACTAAGCACGCAGTATGATGTCCTTATACCATGAAAGTTTCCATGATACAATGGTTGGTTCTGGCTTTTTTTTTTTTTTTTTTTTTTTTGAGCTAACAGTACTGTGATATATTAAACAATTCTGTGTAATAAGTGCTATTGTAACTTTTGTTTCACTTCCCTAACTGCAATTTAAGAGCTTCAGCTTATTGTCATTATTTTAACTCGTATACATTTCAATTGCATTTATTTATTTAGAAAAAAAAGTAACAAACACCTACAAGCTATCAAGTCAGTGTTCTTTCTAAGTGGTTATAAGTTGCATCTGTTTTGAAGAATTCACTGTGAACACGCTATTGCCTGTGCTTACTTTTTGGAGTATTAACAAGGTTTCATTGTTTGAATCATTCAGGTTACTTGGGGGTATAAATGTAGCCAGTCCTGTGGCTGATGAGCATTCTCTTATAAAGCTGTATGTAAATCAGCTTCACAACAATTCACGGTCAGTATGAGAGCACTAACCCACTAACTGCCGTAGTTCTGTAGCTCATGCACTAAATCATTAGCAATTCTGCTCAATTACTAAAGATAGTCTTTAAGGAAGGGCTCTGGCGGGCTGGAGGATCTTATGGCTCTAATTATTCTTTTGATTAGACTTCCTGCTGGCTGTGGGCTTTGCCAACTTTCCTTGCTTTCGCTCAGCACTAAGCTTTCATTTCACCTTTTCACATAGGATTAATATTATGCATCTGGAGGAAGTTGGACACATTGTTTTTGAAAGCCAAAAAATGCACCTCTATGTTTGCATCTTCAGTGCATGACTTCCCGGGTGTATTCCTGACAGAGGCATGAAAGAGGCTCGCAGAAGAGTTTGGAAGCAATTCCAAGTCCCACAGCCAGCCTGCCCTCCCTTGTCCACAGCTCTTGCTGCTGAGAGTTAGCGGTCAGCAGTTTGTTCTGCTTGCCAATAACCCTCCCTGAACCACTTTGCTTTGCTTTTCAAAATGGCCAAAGAGAGGCAGGTGTGTATCCACTCCTGAAGTTAGTGAAAGCCTTCCATTTCCTCAGGGAGCTTCAGAGGAGGACCAGTGCTTCTAGCTGATGCTCTTCTCCCAACATTCTCTCTCATTGCAGTGACCTGTAGGGAGAGCCAAATTCATGTTATGTAAAAGTACCCAACTGGATAAGAACAATTTCCCAAGTTTTTACTGTGGAGTGTAACGGCCTTTCTTTTTTTCTTCTTTGATTAGTGCATGAGATTAGCTATAATTCAATGAGAAAGTACTGAGACAAAGGTACTTTTTTCCTAAATGCCAACTTCTTCAATCTGTATTAGACTAATAACAGTATCTTCGTTCGTTCTTGTAGGTTTTACTGTTATTATTGCCCTGGGAGAATCAGGCCTCATTAGTGGAAGCTCATCCTCTCATACATCAGAGAAACAGACTTTGACAGCCTTGTTTGCAGTTCTGCTGTTTTCATATTAAATGCTCAGTGATTCATGTTATAATAAAAATTGTACAAACCTAGGGTAGAATTTCTAGCTAAACATAATCAAGGGTAAATCCGCTGTCTGTTTTCACTGCAGACAACTTATGGTTACTTTAATGTGTGTTGCAGTCTAGTTTAGTGGTTTCAGATAGCTTTGAAGAAAGTTTTTATGTAATTAGATAGTTTATGCAAAAGAAAGTTGGCACAAACTCTCATTTGTAGCATTCCTGTGGTATTTGTTTCAGATAGCTGCATTCACATCAGAGCATTGCCATTCACCGCCAGTCTTTCTCTGTAGCAGGAAATGTTGAATACAGCACCAAGTCACTCTGCTGCTAGAAATGAATATGGTAGCATAAATGCAGCAAACCATGATCTTCATTTCTGAATTCTTGGGTGGACAAGGGAAAAGGACTGGGAAGAAGAATCTTATTAAAGAGAAGATCTTTGATAACTAGCAAATATAGTGATAAATTGTGGGAACATCTGGAAGGAGACTAAACATGAAATGTTATTTGCAGTTTAATTGAGCTTTGGGTGGATATACAATTATTCCAAAGCACAAAGGAAGTCAGATTTATGCTTTCCTTGAGATGCTTCTTAGTTTCTTCAGTCCACTTCTCCATCGCAGTCTGCTTGCTCTGTTTGAGCCATGATGTCCATGAGTGAGTGTTAATGAGAAGTTTGGCATAACAATTGCCTTCCTTTTAAATTTACACAGTGTGCAAATTGGTATCAACAGTACAGCATGCTCAGCTGAGTCCTTTACCCCTGTCTGTACAGCTTAAGAACTTTAAAGCACTTATCTTAGTAAAGAAGGAACAAAAAATCACCGATCTTCTCCCAAATACCAAATGATAGACGTTTGTTGTAATGACAGCTAATAAGTGACTAACACTGCAAGAGCTGATTTGTTTTTACCCTGGCTAATATTTTTATTTTTTCTTAATCTCACACTTATTTTTGTGATGTCTGATTAACTAGAGGGCAGCAGAACACTGCTGTAGAGTAGCCATTGCCCTTAGAAATTCAGTGAGCTGAACGTTTCAAGCCAAAACAGGTAGATTGAGCATTGTAGATACTTCTGTCTAGTCAAGAAGAATAACTCTATCCCTAGCTGAATTGACAATGTCTTCCCTATTTGGATTCTTTTGTTCCCCAGCTGCGGTCTATCACTAGCATAGTAATGGATACAACCTCTTTCAGTCTTCTTTAAAATATTGAATTACAGAGTTTGAGGTAGGATAAGGTGACACAGAATGGCTTTTCTTGCATGTTTTTCAGTGCCCCCTCACAGCTGATACATTTAGTTCTTCTGAAGATATAATCAACTGGAATAAATGAAGTGATGCAGTACGTTCCAGTAAAGTTGAAATTAGTCAGTAATTCTGTGGTAGACAGAAAGAATATACTGTGATATCAAATGCCCATAACCAATGAGAAATTGAGTGTTATTTAATGCTGAGTCAGTGTAGATGGTGCCCTCTTTGAATTCCAGGTGGATGTAGAGCACTGAGAGATGTTTGTACAGTATCTCTGGAGCATACTGGTTGCCTTTGTTGACCACATTTCTATGTCTGAAGAGTGTTGTAAACTTGAACTGTCAGATGCCTTTGCATGTCGTTTTCAGGAAAAGATGAGAATCCTTCTTGGATTTTTTGGCCAGTGTTCTTCCTGCTAAAGGCAGGCTAAATATCTGACTGTTTCAGTGATCTGGTAGGCTCTAAAGAGAGTATAACTTTTTCACAAATTTCCGTAGGTGTACATCTTTATAAACATCTGCCCAGAGATGAAGGCCTTGTCTCTTAGTTTGGGTAGGAAAACATTCTTCAGCAGCTCATTGCAACAGGAATGTATCTTAGAAAAATGTACTCTAGGTTGTTGGATCCAGACAAATTCACTGTGGTAAAAATAATCTTTGTGCTATTAGCTGTATTTTGGGGAAATTATGGGGCATGTAGGAGGCTGTGGGAGACAAGGAAGGGCAAATGTAATCTCTTCCAAAGAAGGAAACAACTGAAGGTGGAAATGGACAAAAACTCAAAGAGTTGTGCAAATAGAAGCCTAACCTTGGTATCCAGCAATACTGAAATTATGAAAGAATTAGTAAGTTCCTGAAGGATAATAAACTGATGAGAAATAGCCAGCATAGATTTGTCAAGAAGAAATTATGTCAAACCAAATTGATGTATTTCGTTGAAGGATAGCTGGTCTAGTGGGTAAAAAATAAGCAGCAGATATGATACAGCTTGACCTTAAAAAGACTTTTGACATAGTCTCTGTATGACACAAAAGTACCCAAAGGAAATAAGAACGTAGGGAAATTAGTATAAAGTCAGTGCACAAGCGGTTGAAAATTTGTAATTAGATTTACAGAAGTTTGCTATCATTCTAGGAGGATGTATCAGCTGGGATTCTTAAAGTTCTATCTTCAGTCAGACGCTGTGCACTATTTCTTGTAATGACCTACCTGGAGCAGTAGAGTGAGTGTATGTAATTTGTAGATGGTACAAAGGTTGAAACAGTTACGGAGAGGAGTGCTCAGAGAGCAATTTCTAAATTAAAAAAGCAGCTCAATTGCAGTGGTAGTAATTGATGTCCAAATGATTTGAAATCAGTTAGAGGAAACTCAGTAATTGTAAGTGCTATAGCAAGGAAGCAAATAATCAAATAAAACCTGGAGCATAGTTGAATGGACAGAAATATTTTGACAGAGGATCTACAGTTGCAGTGAACCACAAACTAATTGGGGTCAGCAATATGATTGTTAGAATGCATCTCACTAGGACTAGGACTGAAAAGTCAATACCCAGAGGTGGTGGCAGGTTGCGCCCTACGTAGGGCATGGTACTGGAACAAATGTGTTACTGAGCATGTCAGAGTCCAGCAGAGATGCCCAAGTATCAAAAAAGCTTAGAAAATACAGCTCCTAAGAAAGGATTGGATGCTCATACTTTCAGGATAACAAGGTGAGGCCATTTGTCATGTTTGTTCATCGGTTCCTCCACCCTTATTAAGTTGCTGCTGAAGCATAGGACAGTTTATGCGTGATAGAGGGGACATCACAATGTGCTGTTAGAAAGCAAAGCTTTAAATCTTCCCTGCTGATTATGGCAACAAATTTATCTTTAACACATTCTGTATCTCCTTAAGGCATTTTCCTTCTGTAACTGGGAATAAAACACTGAAAAAATGTATCCTTCTAGACAAAATGGAGCATACTTTCCTGCGTGCACATTACTTCTGTAGAAGCACAGCACACATGAACAGCATGCTGATGGACATAGAAACTAGAAGCAAGTTGTTTTGTTGTTTTTTGTTTGCTTGTTCTGTGTTATATTGCATTTCACTGAGCTCTCTTTCAGATTTAGTATAAAACAGTAGGGCTTGGATTCCTGCGACACCTTTTAGTGCCATGTTTTTCAAAACTCCATGAATAACCTTGGTCTCCCATAGCAGTGGGAGAAGGACAACATTTCGTCTTCGAGAATTCCTTATTTATCCCAGCGTTAAAGTTTGGCTCTTCAGTCCACCAGAGCATCATGTATCATATTTATGCAAAATGATCTGCCTATACACACACACACATCTGGAAGCACAGGTGCATACATGCTAACACACAGGTCTTCTGATCAAAGATACTTACAGTAATGGTAGCCAAACCCCAAAATAGATTTTAAAAGCAAAAAAGTAAAATATTTTTCTATTTAGCTGCCTACAGCCAGAAATGCTGTAAAAAGAAAAACTAATATTGAAATTTCTCTACTTTTGGCCAGTCTTATTGGCCTTGATAATAAAAGTGGTAGTAGTATGTAAATAATGCCAATAATAGGAATTTGCTTATTAGCCTGGTGAAGGAAGGAACTAATAAGGTTATTAACATGGATATTTTTGTATTGGAAAAGATGCAGTTACTGCAATCCATTGAATACAGTAATTAAGAAAAAAAGTGGCATTTTGCAATTGGGCAATTGAGCTTTGATGAACTGTATATTTTTTAATCAACAGAAAAACAATACTTCTGAAAACAGAATTGTTGTGTCCCATTACTACATATAAATAAGCAGATTTCCATAGGTTATTGAATCTGCCTCATGGCAGGCATGGAGAAAAACAATTTAGCTGTTATGGGGAAGTTTTACCAACTTGGAGGCTGCATTTCAGTATTTACATCATACTCTACCTGCAAACTGAGAGAAGTACGTTTTGTTTCTCTTTTCCATAGTGAAGGCTTTATAGTTTTGCTTTTCAAGAACAGGAGGGAAAGCTAATTCTTGACTTCACATTTCTGAAGTTTTCTAACATTTCTTTAAAGCTCTGTGTTTGTTGTTTTTTTCTTTCATTCAGTCTAGGCTTCTTGAATGAGTTCCTCCAGATTGTTCTGTAATAAATGGTAGGCTTCAGTGATTACTTTCTTCTTAGTTCTCCTGTCTTATTAACTAGCTCTCCCTCCAAGAACACTGAAGTAGAGCAGAGCAAACTGCTGGCTAGGGCTGCTCCGGCTTTCTTGAAAGGCAAAGGGTAAGTTAAAGAGAGAGTATGTTTGTAGCTTGCACTAACACAGCTAAAACAAAAACTTCTTCTTACTTCCCCCTGTTTTTAATATATTCTGTAAATACATTTCCTGATAAGATGCTAGCAACCAATTAACCCTGTGAGCTCTATAGGGCATGCTTAAGTGTATTTGTGTGTACCTGAGCGCGAGGTCTTGATCAGACATTTCCAAGCAAATCCAGCTTGTGATTTCAGTATGTTAATAATCTGTGTAACAGAGATATATTTGATGTATTTAAACTCTACAGAATATAATGAAACAAATAGAGCTGACCTTGCAATCTGCTTTATTTTAAAATAAATGGTTCTGCATAGCCCCAGTCCCTGGCCTGATCTGGCATTTCACCAATTTCCATGGCTGGCTCTGTACCTGAGTTGGGTTCTACCATCCTAAGCCATTGAATATTTAATATGTAACTTACAGCAATAACAAAATAATTTCTGCACTTGGTATCTTTTTTCTAAGAGCTCTTAATTTTTCGTTCCTACATTCTCATTTCGCAATCTCATTTGCTCCTGCTTTCTCTGTTTATTTCCCTCTGTCTGTCTGGACTGCACCCTCTCTCCTCGACCCCGTTCCAGGTTACAGTACAGCCTCGATGTTGCAGACAGGCTGGCCGATGAACATGTGCTCATTGGGTTGTATGTCAACATGCTGCAGAGCAACCCCGCACGGTTAGTGCAGGTTTGGCACTTTGGGGTGATCCAGGAAAGGGATGCTGGTCGGCCACTTGCTCTCCTCGTGGCTACCCATGAAGCAGCTTTTTATGAGCACTAACCTGAAGGGAACGTGTATGCTTGTGGGGTATGTCCTCCCGGAGCTGCTGAAGATGTTGCTGGTAGCAAGGTATTGCAAATAAGTACTTGAATAAAAAGTGACTTCACAAATTGGTTTGGAATGCCACACTCCAGTCAGTGAGGAACTTGACAATGGTAAAGTGTTCACACAATTACTTGAATTTGTATTTCCAAGACAATAATTTTTAAGATGATACATAATTTGTAGCTTCAGCTTACCTTGATAATACAAATGGCAGTAGTATGTAAATAATGCCAATAATTGGAAATGCTTATTAGCCTGGTGAAGAAATTAATTTCAATTTTTACTTATGCCAGGCGTTTTTATATTTACCTGATTTCTGCTTTGTTTATATGTATCTTGTGTATATATATATATATGTATACACACACACCTTATATTTCATTCAGATTCAGGTATGAAAGGTTTTTAAATGGGTGCCTTGAATGTAGTTCATTATTTCTGAGGGAGGGACTATGGAGCACAGGGCTCCATGCTATTTCTAAAGTCATGTGCTGTCCTAATGCTGGTGGCTAGTGGCCTCACAGCTGTTCCTACTGCTACTGCAGAGGTTTTCCCAGGTTAGAAACTCCCTGTATACTGTTATACGTAGAGAAGGCAATAAACAGCTTCTTTAGAGAGGGTGAATGCAGTGGTTCTCTGCAACATTAGAAAATTGATTTCTGTGTGTTGAAAATGGTAACTTGCCATGTAGCTGTGCCCTGTGGAGCAGAGAATCTGCATTTGTTGTTCTGGATCTGCTTCTTTACTCTGCATCCCACTAGAATTTGCCAGAGGGGAGAAAAAAAAAAACAGCTGCATTTTAGAGAAGAAAATGAAAACCACTTCCTCAAAACAAAGACATTTTGAAAGGGGATCAGCAGCACTTTCAGAAAGCAAGCCTATTTAATAATATTTACAGAGTGGCCGTGAAAGCAAGCTGCTGGGGCATTCAGAGCGGTCTTTGCCCACTTACGATTGAAGAGAACAGGAGGAGATTACCATTAGGTCTAGTTTGACAGAGGAAGGAGGAAATGTTGCCCTGCCTTCCACGAGTGTCTTACTCAATAAGGTGATTCAGGAGGTCCACATAGACTGGACCTGGTTTAGAGTCATTTTTGGTGGTGTGCTACTGATGCCATGCCTGTGATTGATTTAGCTTCTGAGAGGATCACCAGTGAGATCCCATTTGAGCGTCCAGCCTCATCTTTACCGTCTTCAACTTCTAAATTTTATCCAGTACTTCAGTACTTCCAGTACTTCAACCTGTTCCTTCAAGCATGTGGACCCACCTCACCAAGTCACAGTACATATTTGTATCCAAATATGCACATAAAATTTATGTACCATAGCATCCTTAAAACGTCATGTTTTTAAAAGAATGAATGGACAGTGACTGGTAATGGCATTAATTACTGGAATAACTGATGCAAAGTATAGTACATACAATCTCATTACCAACTTTAAATCACTGCAGTCACAACATCCTCAACTAGGAACAATCTCAATCATTTATATGAGATACCAATTAGATTTTGACAGAAACGTAACCGAGAGGAACAGCAGTCTCTGTCATGCATCAAACCATGCTGCATTGTCAGTTTCTGCTCAGCTGCAGTGAGACTGATAATAGTGGATGGTTACATTTTGGTTAAGATGGGAAGAACAAACAAAATGTCACCAGGAGAGGAAGGTGAGTTCTCTGCATTGTCTGGGGCAGCATCTTCAGGAAACTGGAAATTCCTTCTGTCCTGGTCCCGACATGACTTGATGCATCTTGCTCAAAACCCATGCAGCTGTGTTAGGATGGTGTTGAGTTCAAGATCATTGATACTGCAGCTCAACATGTGGTCAGTTGAGTGAAGCACACAGCTAACTGTAATCAGGTAGCTCTGCAGCTAGCCAGCTCAGCCTTTGAGTCTTCCTCTGCAACATACTGTGTATGCAAACCCCTATCTGCCACAGCAGGCTTTCAGGTGCTGCTGGCATCTGTCATTGAAAAGAGGAATGATTGGAGGTGGACCTCCACCTTAAAGACAAATACAAATACACTTTGTGAGCACAGTACATAAAAGTGTTATTGACAGCTATAAGTTGTGTTTCAGAACAGAACAGGTTAGCTTTTTAGATGACGACTCTGGCTAATTTATAGTAGCTAACGATCAGCTAATGATCCAGTATAGTCCAGTTAGTGTTTTTGTCTGTTTAAGAATAGCTAGTATTCGTATTTGGTTTTTTGAATTATTTTTCAGTGCTTATCTTTGTCTTCCATCTGCAGTTACTTGACACTGAAACGAGAGAAGTACAAGCTTCCTTTCCATCTCTCATAGGCTAATAAGCTACTTCAGGTTTTATTTAGATCCAGTACTGCAGGGCAAATTAAGAAGCAAGATAAAGACTATTTCATTATTTATAGTAACTGTATGGGTAAAAATAGCACCCCTTACCCAGATGCTCTGCTTATTTTATTCTTAAAGTGTGTTTTAGAGTGTAAAACCAATAGATGATATTTAATTGTGTTCGTTTTTAATGTCTGATTCTGAAAGAAAAGCCTTTAGCTGCGCCTCTTTGTTCTCGTAAGTTAGAGTTTCTACCTAGTTTTGCATATCAATTTCACATATTCCAGTCTTTCCTTTTAGTTGCAGAATAAGATAAGATACATGATGAGGAGGAGGGTATTTTTGTTCTGTAGAGAGCTGGCTTATGGTTTTTATGTTATGCTGTATAGGAATGTAGTGAGTCATATTTCTGTACTATAAAAGTGCCATGTTATTCCATGTTATTTTAGAAGATGTTTATTACAGAAGTGTGCAGAAGAGCTAACTAGCTAGGAAGGCTGGGCTCACTTTGAGCTAGCTGGGAGGAAAGTAAAGCGTATCTCTGGATCAGCTCAGCTTCACAGGCTTTCAGAATACTGGAGCTGGGTTTCTGCTTTAAGTCTTCCCATGAAAGAAGAAAAAAATCAGAGACGCTCTGATGACAGAGGAAATGTATAGACACTGGGCTCCCTCGAGTGGAATTAATTTCTGCATACCTTATTGATACTGACATTTCTGTGGTGAAATATAGGTGATTCTAAAGTAAATCTGAGATGATACATCTCAGCTTTAAATGCTTGTAGACCAGAACAGTTTTGAAAGTCTCACAGGTAACAAGCATCAAAGTGCATTGATAGGTTGCAATTAGAACATTGTTCTTGTAGCACTAATACTTAGAAACCTAACATTGCTTTTGTCAGCATTTTTCATAGTATATTATTCATTTATTAACTAAGCGAAAGTTTGCATTTTATAGAACAAGAGCACACCGTGCAGGCCCTGCCGATTCCAATACTGCAAAACTTTCATGAGAGAATGGCAATTCAAAGACTTTTCAAACCATTGATGGCATAATTTTAAGAATGCCGGGGATCGCTGGATCCGTAACACCCAGTGCAGAGCGTCTGCTGTTGAACAGGCTAATTGAGCACATCTAAAGCATAGGAAATAGCCAAGGAGCTTGGGTGTCTCTCCTCTTCCACAGGCTATCATTCCTATGCCTGGAGTTTTGAGATCTTTTCTCGTGGATATCCTTCAGCCTGTAAAGCATCAAACAGAAGAACAAAAGCCTAAACAAAAAGTCCTATCGTAAAGGGAATAGTATTGGCTATTTGTCAGACCAATTACTGCTGATAATTATCAAATCTTTAGAAAAATGGTCACTAATAAAGAAGCAGTGTTAAAACAACTGTGTAACAACTGTGTAAAACAACTTTGCACAAGACTCATCAGCAGACTGTTAGTATGTGATGAGTCTCCTTTGAAAGGATGCCTGTAAGATTCTCTTGCGGATCCCACATTCTACACACATATTCGTAACATTTTAAAGCTTGTGTGTTTTCAGTGTATCATATTCCGTGAAATTGCTGAAATAAAAACAGAAGTGGATTATGGCAAATCTGAAATCTAAGACATAAAAGTATTGGCAGGCTAATGCTGCTGTACAGACCTCTGTGCTTAATGATCACATAGAATAGGTATATTTTGGAATTAAATATCTCTCAGACATTGAAATTTAATTTACAAAGAGTTGATGCCACTGATTTCTGGCATTCATAGGCCAACTTTGATGCACTGCTGCATCAATTTGATGACATCAGCCTACACATAACTGTATATCAAAGACATAAATAGGGAGTAAAAATCAAAAAGCAGCAGAGCTTTGATTCTTTCAGTGAAGTCATTGTTTTAGGAGTTAGCTCACATCCCAGAGCTGTGCTGCAGATTGTGTTGGGCCAGCAAATGGAACCATAATCTATTATTTTTCCAGAATGGATAATATAGTTGCACATTGCTGTAAAAAAGAGAATTGATGCTCAATGCTTGCTATTTTCACAGCCATCTGTTAGAATGTTATGTTTTAGTCATTAAGGAAAAATTAAAAATGAATTTTATTGTCATGAAATTAATCCTTATTACCTAGTTTGCATGATCGTTTGTGTCTGTAAGAGTTTCTTCTCCTTTTCTTTCTCTGGATGACATACTGGTACAGTAGGCACGAGTATGTAAGAAGAGCACTGTTCATGGATTTAGAAAGATCAAAAAAACACCTTTGGCTTGAGACTTTTCAGAAAGTAACTCTGTCGTATGTTGTCATCCTGCAAGAATCTGAGTAAGAGCAGAGTTAAGCTACATATGCAATAAAATAAGTTGGATAACTGAAACAAAAAAAAAGCACAAGCTTAGGTTGCACAGACCCTCTCATGCCTGACTTCTCATAGCTTTAGTGTTTTTCTGTACTTCATGTTTTTGGCCTCACAGGTTATTGTCAGAGTGAGAAAAAGATGTTTATCTCTTTTCCCTTGCCTCAGCAAGTCATAACCAATCCACATGACTCCCAGCTTTAGTTTAATGATCAATGAATATCAACAGTTACTCATCTTTCCAACATAACTTCTAGATCCCAGTGGACTTAATCAAGCCAACCAAAAGATGCACACTATATTTCTTTGAGGTACCTGGGGATATGAACTCACTGAAAATTTTGGGGGGAAATATTTCTGTTTTCTTTTATATCTGCTGATTCTTCAGAAGCAGAACTTCTTGCTCAGAAATTATTTTCATCTGGCAGGCTTTTCAGGTTCAAGGTAAAATTTCTAGCAGAATAACAGGATAGGATGCCCAGCCCTTGTTTTGTGCACTCCTTTGAGATGTGAAACTCATTCTCCAGCAACAAGCTGTATGTCGTAATTGGTACATGGGTAGAGAGGCACGTGCCTGTCTCCCTTCAGCCAAAACATCACACAGTTTCCAAGGCATCAGAAGAGAGGGCAGGCTTGCCTCTATCCAGGATCATCTGCAGGGCTGTCATGTTCCACACGGCAATTCTTCTTACCTTCTCTTAGCAGCTTCATCTTCATTTCTCTTGTATATAGTGGGCATCATGCAATATAGAATAGTTTTGGTGGTTCTCTGCAAACTTCTAAAATGTTTAGAAGAAGTAAATGTTTTCACTGTATTAAGTTTTTCATGCTCTTCTAACTTAGTAATAATCTCCATTTAAAATAAGGACAGCTGGCAAAGGATTAACCTGTGAGGAGTATTTGCCTTTGATATTGTTAGAAAACAAATTGTAATTAGGTGCAATATTTTAAAGGAATGCAGTGTATTTGCTGGAAGTTCTTGCACTTAGCAATTTTTATGGCAGTTCTGTATGTGACCAAAGCAGACTGTTACAGTTGGTGCTACTAAACTCCTGCATCCTGGCAGCATGAGTTGGGTCCATGATAAAGCCAGTCCAAGGCTAGGATCAGTGGGGCACATTTATGTGGTTTTCTGAAAACTTACTCCTAAATATCAAGAAAACAAAAATAAAAGAAAAGGTCTGATTATAAATTCCTAGATCAGTGGTTCTAAAGCTGATTTCTGTGAGAGCTTGGTAAGTGCCCTGCAAAGCTGCCCCTACGAATTTGCTCTCCCACATTTCTCCTTGGCTCAATTAACATCTGCTGTTGTAAACATGTTGGCGATGTTTTGTTTCTAAGTTCTGTGATGGGGGAGTGTGAGTGGACAAAGTGGCAGAGCAGCTGCCGTGCGTACTGTGCGCTAACGTGTCTGCCCTCCTCCTCTCCCACCCTGAGCAGCGTGCTCGACAGCGCAAGTCGCCTGGATGAAGAGCACAAGCTGATCGCCAGGTATGCAGCAAGGCTGGCAGCAGAAACTTCTTCATCAGTAAGTGTTTTAATTAAAGGGAGGTGCTTTCCTTCTGTCGTGTTCCAGGGGCTTGGCAAGATCGCGGAAATTATGTCTGACAAGCTCCATGGTTAATGGGTTGTATTTCACTATCCCTCTCATCAGATGTTGTTATATTTTATGAGTAACATTTTATTTAAGTCGAAGAATTCACATATTAATGCATATAATCTATATACTAATGTAATGGTACTTAAATAAGTACATCAAAGGGAATCTGACACTTTAAACTCAGGCAAAACTGGAAAATATTGCCTGGACAAGCTTTGGCTAAAGGTTAATGATTTACTGCATTGGAAAAATGAGTGATGAATCCATTTTACTCTTTAGTTCAAATATCACTACCACCAGGGCCTTAAGTGCTCAGGATTTTAAAGAGTGATCTCCAGCAGGATGGCCGTAATGACCCACTGCATTAGCCCCGGCTCTCATTTTCATTTCAGAGCAGTGATTATTCTGCTCTGTGTATCTTGAGACAGAAGGTAGTGACAGGCTGAAACCTCACTAACTCTGTTAGAGAGGGAAGTGGGAGCCTAATCGAGGTATATTAAATCTTAAATGGCATAAGTAAGGTCAGCCTAGTTACTTTTTTTCCATCTCAGCACATTTGGTAGAACAAGGAATCATAAATGATAGTTAAGTGAAAGGCAGCCGGTCCAGGATGTCAGGAAGCATACTTTCACACCGAGATTTACACTGTGGGATCAATTGGAAGGGTGAAGCCAGGCAGTGCTCTCAATGTGAGGCCACCTCATGCAGCCATCATGTTGGTGCAATTTCTCTCTCGAGGAGTGGGTTTAAGGGTTGTGGTCGACCAGCCATCCCACAGCAGTTCCTTTCCATGGTGTGACACACAGCACTCAGCTTTCAGGCAGCCTGCAGTTGACTATTATTGAAGGACTATTATTGAAGTAATTTATCATGGGGACAAAATTCCCTACTGGTAAGGTCTCTGAGTAGGAACTGGTAGAAATCAGGTGTACATAACATGTTCCTTGATAGAAGGGAGAAGAACTGAGGAAACAGTACTTAAGTAGCTTTTAAATTGAGCTGGTCTGAGTAAAATCAGTGTATTTCTCTTTGTCAGCCAAGTGCCCATTTCTTTGTGCTCTTTGAAGAGACGAGACAAAAGAAAAAATGAAGGTTTCCATGTACAAAAATCTTTCAGCAGAGCACAAGAGTAGAACCAAGTTAGGAGCGGGGTAGGAATGTATAAAGCTTTGCTGGTGGCCATTCTGCTTTTTAAGAAAACATATGTACTCATAACACTGGGCACTGAGGAAAGTGACCCTGGCTCCCTCAATATCAGACACCCACCAGCCTGTCTTTATGCGCTGCCTTCCCTGGTTGTCGCAGTGTCAGTTTGAAAATGCACCCACAGCAGAAAAGATAGCACAGAGCCCACTGACCGCAGGGTTGTCTTCGTCCTTTTTGAGGGCCCGTTCCTGCAGGAGGGGTGTCTGGCATCACACAGAGCTGGTCCAGGCCTCACAGGGTTTGGACAGTGAGAAACGCTCAGATCACAGCAGCAGCTCAGCAGAGGAACCTTCATTGTCTGATTCTTTCACCCTCGTGTTAGACATAGAATCATAGAATGGCCTGGGTTAGAAAAGACAACCATGATCATCTAGTTTCAATCCTCCTGCTGTGTGCAGGTTCACCAATGACCAGATCAGGCTGCCCAGAGCCACATAAATGGATGTCTTTGATCAAAATTATGAAACTTTGTATGTCTGTGTGAATTCTTGCCTTGCACTGTCATTGATGCAGTGCTGAAATACTGGTGTGTGTACGAACAAACAAACCAGTAGTTGACATCTGCTGAAAAATACAAGAAAATAACATAGTCCAATAAAACTGAAGTGAATAATGCTTAGGTTAGTAAAAAGTAATTCAATTCCCACTTCATTTTATTGGGGAAAAAAGGGCTTTTTATTTCTGCAGGATTGGAGGGTGAGCTTTCAGAAGTATCAAGGAGCATATGGGAAAACTTGGCCAAGTGGGCAGTGCAGACAGACTGAAACCTGGATGCAAAAGCCTTCAAACTGAGAGTAAAACCCAACTTTCGAGGGAAGGAAGCACTGCTGAAGTGGAAGCATATCCTCTTCTTTTTGGAGAGAGAAGCTGTTTTTTTGTCAGTGCCTTTCTCTTGTCTTTAGTGTCTGTACTGCAGCAGCTGCCTGCTGCAGCGCCATTCCCTCAGCTTTTAGATGGTGGAGCTGAGAAAGCTCCCAAAGGAAGGGTGGAAAGACAGGATGGTAAACACTCCATTGTTTTCTGTAGCACCTGCACTGCTCGCTAGCAGTGGAGCCATGCTGGTATGAAGCAAAACATGGATGCTCTCTGTATGTGGACATGCATGGTACTGTGTGTTCTGTGAGCAGTTCTCTGTGCTGAGCTCGTGGGTGCCCGCTGGCCATCCCTTGCTCAGCAGCCCTCCTTTTTACAGCAGCAGCAGGCACAGCAGAGAGGGGCGGCAGACATCTCCTTCACCATCGATGCAAACAAGCAGCAGAGGCAGCTGATTGCAGAGCTTGAGAATAAAAACCGGTAAGGATCCACGGCGTACCTGGTTTTGCTCAGCTCCATGTGTTGTGTGTTATTTTCTACCACCACTTCTGTGCTTTGTACTTAAACACACTTATGTGCCTTCCCCAGCAAAAAGCAGAGGGCACAAAAAGGTCCACAGAACATGACAAAGGCTTTAAGATCCCCAGCCACCCTCTTCTTTAATGAATGTCCTGTCAAATGACATGATACAATCATTGATACTTTATTTTTCACAGTTGCTGTTTGTTCAGGTCTTAAAAAAAAAAACAGTTCTGTTTCAAAACCACATTAATTTTTATCTGGATCCTCTGTAGAGCAATAGCACGAAACGATAAAAGGATTAGTCCTCCTGGTAACGATATGCTCCCCTGCTTTTATTTGTGAAGAAGATGGTTAAAGCTCCCCAGAACACAATTTGCCTGAGAAAGGCCTGCAGAAAGGTTAGCAGCAGGTGAGGGCACTGATGAAATGAGACACTGGGTTCAGATGTGAGTGAGATTGAGGGATAGTGCCCAGGAGAAATGGGCTAGCCACCTCCAACAGGAGTGACACCCATGTGCTGTCAGCAGAGTGTCTGGCCCTGAGTATCAGACTGCCCGATGTCGTGAGATGTATGACAGCAGAGCTCTGCTTTTACTGCTGGACTGTAAAACAGGACAGCCCAAACCAGATGGTTTCCTATTGCAAGCCCTGCATGGCCTTCTGTCATGGTATAATGAGCCACCAGCTCCAGTCTTGATTTGTCTTTCATAGTTGGAGTCCGCCTCCTGACCGTCTGGTACCCAACACATTGTGCAGGAGAGAAAAAAATCACAAAGGTTTCAACCTTCAGTTGTGAAGCTTTGTGTTCGATCTCTGACAGCATTCCAGGGATGGCATGCCAGCCATAACAAGTCCTGTTAATGTGCTTCTCCATGAATCAGTGACCATTCTTGGATCTGTGCTTACACTACAGTATATATACGTATATACTCAAGATGGGCAGATATTATTTTATTATTTGTTAAGTTGATGCATACAGTTATTTTGTGTCTGCTTCTGGCATTGGGGATCTTGAAGAAATGCTTCCCTTTTATTACAAAGTACTGAATTTATATTTTTTTTAAAATATCCAGAGCTACTTCTGTTGGCTGGAGCCCAGTCACTAAATCTACATTGGTTAAAAGCTCTGTACAGTCACATTTCTTCTCCCCCAGCTGTGTGTAATGAGCTGGTTTTGAGGAAAATGACTGACTTGTGGTCTTCTGCTTGTTCCCTTTCCCAAGAGAAATCCTGCAGGAGATCCAGAGGCTGCGACTTGAGCATGAGCAGGCATCTCAGCCCACACCAGAGAAGGCACAACAAAATCCTACCCTCCTGGCAGAGCTGCGGCTCCTCAGGTAAGTGCACAGCAGTAAAACCTCCAGCAGCTCCTCAGACAGACTTGTAGCAACTGAGGAAGAAGTATGAGATAAACCTGGCTTATGCTTTTGGGACCTTTTTTATATAAATATAACACTGTATTTTTTCTCCTATTTCAGTGCAGGCTGTGGTCCTAAAAGTAATTAAGTTTATGCTTTAAGCAGCATGCATGAAGAATCTCACATATTACTCATCCACATTAAATTAAGCCTGTGCATTAGTGTTTGCAGAGTTAGGCCCTTAGGTCATTTGGAATAGGTCCCCAAAGCCTTGTCCAAGTGTCATTAATCATATGGGGAAAAATGTTCTTCTGTCAGAGCAAATGCTTCCACAAAGACTTCTCATCTGTGCTAAAGTAAATATAGAGTTACATGAAAATACAGCCAGAGTTAGACGTTAATTTTTGGAAAATTCCCCATGCTTTGAACTCGAAGGAAAGGTCAGTTCTCTTCATTGTGCATAACCAGGCTGCAGAGTTGTGCGCCATGCCATGTGAGGGCGGGGAGGAATAACGACATCTGCCGCAGCTGAGGACCTAGAGGATCATTTCTCACATTATCCCACTAAGCTAAAAACGTTGATACGGATGTGTCTGCTTGTTAATTAGGGTATTCTACACAAGTATGCTAATTGCCATATATGTCAAGTTGAAGAAGAACAATTGGTACAGATCTGTAGGCTCCCTGTATGTCCCAAAGTTCGTGTAGTGAGAGTCAGGCTGGGAACTATTCAAAACACTTAATCTATTTAGAGAATAGAGTGTAAATCATTTCTTTCTGGTGAAACAATGCTAGATTAAGTTTTATTCCCCTCGCCCAAACAGCAGTTCTCTCATGAGAAGACTAAAGAAAATTTTTGGCCATGTAGCTCTTCCTCCTTGCACTAGAAATACTTCTGGTCCCTAATTCATAACTGAAGGAAATTACTGTAGAAAATTATGCTAAATTCTTTCTTTACAAATACTGTACAGTTTTATTGCTACGTTTTCCACACTAAAATATTTTTCTGTTTCACAAATACTTACATTTGCTTTCCAATCTGGAAACAAACAGCTTCTTGATTTCTGAGTGATTTTAGTATGTAATTACTCCTAGATATCCACAGGCAAAAGATAATTTTGTGAGAATTTAAGGTATAAAACTGAGCACAATGAAAATTGATACGCTGCACAAAACATGCTAATGATGTAGCTCCTTCTGTGTATCAAGCTGAACCTCTATTTTAAACAGTTTTAGGAGGTCAGCTTTCTTCTATGTAGTTAATAAATAAAATTATCCTTTAAAAAAAAAAAAAAAAAAGATTGTGCAACGTTAGCAGATTGACTACTTAATTTTACATCTTTTCAATTTTGCCACACTTAATAAAACCTTAACAACCTTATTTAAATTTCCTGACGTGGGATGTCTCTAGGGCAGTGGTGTTGAGTTCCTTGACTACAGTATCTTTTCTGATTGAATATGCAGTGTCAGAAGCAGTAAGTAACTTTAAATCTGTGCATCTGTACACTGTGCTGTACCCTGCTTAGATCCTCTCTCTACACAGATTAAATCTAAAAACAAACAAACAACAACAAAAAAAAAAAAAAACAAAAAATCAAACCCACAGAGGTATGTGCCTAGGATGTGCCACTTTGGATTACGTGGATATCTTATTTTTAATGGCAGTTTCTTGAACTCAGTAGCTTTTGTACAAATCATAGCATTTCCAGCCATTACATTCTTGGAAAAGAAGGTCCAACACAGATAATTAGTCCTCCAGAAGAGGAAATACAACCTAGCAGAGTTGTTATCTTGTTGTCTTAATATACAGGTGAGAGATAGCACACATGCTAACCTGTAGAAACGAATGATATTTATATCAGTATCTGCTCACATATCTTAAATAGAAGTCTCAAATCAGAATTTCATGCTTCCTTAAATATGGGAAACATATTTAGTTTGTTGATTTTGTTCTTCCTTAATAGAATAGAATAGAATTGGACTAGACTAGTTCAGTTGGAAGGGACTTAGGAAGATCGTCCAGTCCTACTCAACCACTTTAGGGCTAACCAAAAGCTCAAGCGTGTTAACAAGGGCATTATCCAAACACCTCTACAACACTGACATGCACTGGGCATCAGCCACCTCCAGGAAGTCTGTTCCAGTGTTTGATCACCCTCATGGTAAATAAATGTTTCCCAGTGCCCAGTGTGACCCTCTCCTGGAGCGGCTCTGCCGTTCCCATCCTGCCATCAGTTCCCAAAGAGCAGAGCCCAGCACCTCTCTGCTTCCCCTCCTCAGGGAGCTGCAGAGAGTGGTGAGGTCACTTCTAGGGCTCCTCTTCTCCAGACTGGGCAACCCATTGCTCTCAGCCTCTCCTCACAGGACATGCCTTAGAAGTCTGCTACCAGCTTTGTTGTTCTCTGGACACTTTTAAATAACTTAACAGCCGTTTTGTATTGTGAAGCCCTGAACACACAATACTCTAGGTGAGGCCTTTAGGATAAAGTCATGTTTTACAGGTAGTACAAAGATAACAACATAGTGTTTTTATTTGATTTGCATGATAATGTATAAGATATACCCAAGATATACCTTTTTCAACAGTAACAGTTTTGGTTACATCCTGGCTTCCAGCAGGCAGCAATTCCATACTGTATTCATTTGGGGACCTCTCATACAGTGCTGTGTCAGTGAAACGTGGTGCTGTACGTCCCTGTGATGCACTGGAGCTATACAGGATCAAAGCTATTGCTGACTGTGGGGCACAGACTGGCTGCCACACATGGGGTGGCCCAGTGTTCACAGTGCCACAGGACTAGCACTGGACTTAGAGCCCAAACAGCTATTTTCAAGCAATTATAGTTCTGCTGTGTGATAGTCTTATGCTTGCTTCTGAAAAGATAGGAACAAAGGCAGTTCACTGTGGTTTTCTGGCTGAATTTCTGAACTCTTACAGTACGCAACACATATCTTGCCCTGTGCAGTGCCCCTGCTGTAATTTCCTGCCCTTCAGGGCACGGCTTTAATTTCTCCTGACAGTTAGCGAGGTTATTGACTAGAGAGATTCACAGATAGAAAAATGAAATCACTGCCAGGCATTCCCACAAGGGAAAATGTGCACAATCTTGAACCCCATTTGCTCTTTGGAGAAGGATCTGTGTCGATGTCTGTCTTTTTCCTAATCTCTGTACTCAGCCTCACGAACATTCTCAGTATGAGGGAACTCCATAGCCTACACATAACTCTGCTTTCTAGGCACTGAATGTGGTTAAAAGCTGCTGAGGGCTAAGGTCTGATTGTATCTGCTTGTTTCTCAGACAGCGGAAGGACGAGCTGGAACAGAGGATGTCTGCTCTCCAGGAGAGCCGAAGAGAGCTTATGGTTCAGTTAGAAGGCCTCATGAAACTGCTGAAGGTAAGGAACTGCACTTGATACTAACACTTGATACTGCCCTTTCCTTTGACAGAAAGGAGAGACGAGTGCAGGGTTCTGCAGAACTTGGCAATTTTCATGATAGAATTTGGCAGCTTGGCTCTTTGACCTTCCCTTTCTTTCCTTTTTTTTTGCTTTTTTTTTTTTTTCTTTTATCTTCAAATTCAAGGCTTTTAAACGATGACCAGATAATGGTGTTCCTGCAATAACAGATCATCGTTGTCATCTACTGCTAAATGGATGAAACAGTAGAGATAGGCTCCATACTATGGACTAAATAACACAGTCATTTGAATAACAGTATAGCACAATGCTGTACAGTCCTGTTTTGCTCATTTGCAGAAGGATTTGACAGCATTTCTGGACTTCAGTGTATCAGTCTCTGAAAGTACTTCCCAAGTAACACTTGATCATCTTCATAAATGTAGAAACAAGCCTGTGTTAACGAGATGAAACATACCTCAAGAAAGGATCTCACTTAAAAGCTGAGGTATCAAAATATCAAAACATATGCACTTTTAAGAGAGGCTAGAGTAAGGTTGAAAGTGCATCTTTCTTTGAGTCTAGCTCCATTTTTCTGCTGTGCCTCAGCACAAACAATGCCGGAAATTCATGTTGAAAGGAAGAATTCTAAATGGCGTGAGAGTGTTTTCTTTTTTGCTATGCCAGATTTAATGAGCACGTGGAAAATTCAGTGCAGCTTGGGTCAAATGTGGCTCTGATAAAAGCAGAGAGAATTTCAAGGAAATCCATTAAGCAGCATGTATTTGCATTAAATGATGTTGGACCCCTTGAGTTATTTGCATCTCTTCTCACATAGTCTTCTGCAGCCACAGTGCATTGGTGACATCTGAGCACGGAGGCCAACCAAACACCCAGCAGATTTTTGCAAGCCAGGATTAGATGAGATACTTTTCCCTCCATCCGTGAAATGCTTCGCAGCTGCAACTAGTGGTCAGGTCAGCCTGCTGTCATTGCACTGCCTGAACAAAAGGAACATAGAGCAGGAGGTTGCAGTAGCTTTCTGCACACTTTACACTGTTCTGTGTTTCAGACCGCTTAGAGATCAGACCATCACCTGGCCATTTTCTCAGCAACTGTGGCTTTTAGCTTAAATTTGTACTCCACATTTTTTCTTCTATTCCTCACTTACGTGCTGGTTAATCTAATGTGCTGATCCTCTTTTTCTTTAGGAAGAAGAATTGAAACAGGCAGTAAGTTGCCTACTTATTGGAGACCTCACTAACTCCTGAATGTGATTGTGTTCTTGTGATTTATTTTACTGATTTATTTTACTTCCTCTGCTTGAAATGTGTGCATATTCTTTTGACCAAAATTAATATCTTGCATTTCTTTCACACATTATTTTCAAGTATGTTGGAGCGATTTTCATAATCAAACCCCTTAGAATGTGAGTCATGACTACAAGGAGTCTTGATCTTTTTCTCACTCTTCTAAATAAGGACATTTATTTTATATAAAAAAACAGGATGTGAAAGCGACCTTGCACATGAATTAAAGAACACTTCCACCACAGAAAATGTTTTGAAAATGTAATGATAACTTTGGGACTGTGAGAAAAATGTAACTGATTTTACATTAGAACAATGAATTTGAAATTCATTCAAAGCTAATTGAATTCATTTGAAATTCAATTGAAAACTAATTGTTTTCTGTAAGCTAAGTTTGAAAGGGCAGTTTTAAACTTGAGATGATTTCATTGGTTTGGAGCTTTTTAGCATTGAAAAATATTTGGAAATAGTCTTGGAAAAATATTAGGCTAAACAACACCCTTTTCAGACAGCAGTCTGATTTATAAGTCCAATAAAGAAGTGTTGCATTCTGACAAAGCACATTTCCTCCAGGTTTCATCAGCAGAAATACGGTTAAAAGTCTGAAGTTTTCTGTCTGTGATACAACATGCTGAGTTCATAGGCAATACTTATCATATAGCTAGTGTTTTGCGTTTTGGCTAATTTTTATGAAGCATCAATCTGTGGCACCCAAAAATAAAATCTGACCAAATACTGATCTTTAAAGTCCCCTTCATCCCAAGCCATCCTATGAAATATCACCTCTGTTTAAGAGTCATCAATATAGTTCTGCGTAACAGTGTTAAAAGGATCTTCCATTCACAAAAGAGAAGCTCCCAACATGAAGAGTTTCCCTATCATATAGAATGTTCACTGGACAGTGTAAGTGGAAGCTCATTTTTGGGCTATTACAGGATATGAGTTTTTCTTCACGGAGTAATAGCCATGCTGAATATGAGGTGATGGTGCTTAGGAATTACTCTGAGTTTCCATGCAATTATACTCATTACACTGTGCCATTTCGTGATCTGTTGAGAGAAACAAGATTAAATTAATTTCTGGATGAATTCAATTGGGATGAGCCATCTGGCAAATCATCTAACACTTATGAACTTTCTATTTCTCTGCTGCCCCTCCTTGAGAAAGGATAATGAGTTCTTCATGTCTGTGTAGCTTCTTCACCACCTGGTGAGGCTGCAGGACACTTTCACATCTGTGATCGCTGCTAGGCCCGGCAGAGGGAGCAGTGCACCAAAGATCCTGTTTTCATTCTGTGCCTTTTCTCCTAAGCATGCGTAGTGCGTAATGATGGGAAACCTTCCCCTGTCTAAGCAAGGGTTAGCTTCAAATCCTTAATACATTAACTAGAGGTGGTGAATTAATTAAAACACAGATTTTCCTAAAAGGCACCAAAACAGTGACAACTGCAGCCAATTACAGCATAAAACCTGAAGTCATCTACAATTTGGTGGTCGCTGTCCTAGCTTCTTTTTCAGCATGCCCTAGACCTCAGCTGGTATGGCTGGCTACCTCGGGAGCAATTAGGTGCTACATTTCTGTGTCAAATTAGCGCTGCTGATGGTCTCTGCAGGTTTCAGGAGCTCCAGCCCATGAAAACCACATTTTGCCTGATAGCCACTAAGTGGGAATAACACTTCCATCCCACAAATTTGGGCTGAGCTGAAACTCAGTAGAATAAGCGTTTATTTCTCTTTCATCAGGCATTCCCTAGCACCCACCTATTTCAGCATTGTCTTCATTACTTCTGTATGATGTTGCCCAAATAATATAAAAATTGAAAAGTTTTTAGCTAGACAGTGAGATCCAAAAGCTTCACTCCTTTATGTTTCACAAACACTTTGTTCAGAAACTGAAAGCTTCAGATAAGAAAATACTGTTTTACATAAACACAAGGTCTCAGCCATAGCTGTAAAGCAAATGCAATGCTAAGCACTGGTGTGCAGCTTTTACATTTCCCTTGTGGGAAAATTCCAGTGAAGAAGTACTGGCAGGCATCTGTTATTTTTAGTAAATAAAATGCCTATTATGAAGTTCATTCCTTAAATGTGACTTGGTTATAGGAAACAAATCTCATCCCTTTTTTCTCATATTCTCTGAAAGTTCCACTGTTGGTGTTTCCCAGAACTATGACCATGGGGAGCTGAGGAAAAAGAGCAAGCAAAGGAGGGAACTGGGAACAAGAAATTCTTTAGCAGATCTGTTTGATAGAGGAGTTGAGACATGAAAGATGTAGTTCCCAGGTGCCTTGCCTGTCATGCAGGGTGTGTGACCTCCAAGAACCTTGAAGCATCTCAAGGGTGCTTTTTACTCAGCTCCTTCTGGACCAGAGATCAGTATTGCTACTTCTATGGGGACGGCTGATTGCAGAAACAGGAGAGCATCTGGCCATTATGTATTTGACTTCTGTTTCATCTATCATTTAAATGTTCTAAAACCGATCATTAGAGAAATTTTATATATTAAATCCTTTATTCTTCCATCAGTAATGTGCTTATTCCTCATAAGCCTTGATGTCTCTCTGGTGATAATGTCTCTTAGAAGGGGGTGATAGAAATGAACAAATAGCTTAGTATTCTGATACATAATTTATGATTAGGGGCAGGAATTTATAAAAATCTCAAGGGCAATGCTGCCTTCTCTCCATTATGGACTGCCACTGTCTTTTCTTAGAATATATTTGCCACCCCTTTTCTGGGCCACTGTGGCAGCCACTACAGGAGTCAACAGAAATGGCATGGGAATACTTAAGAAATCCTTTTAAATTCTCGGAATGAACATGAGGGAAGGGAGAGACAGCACATATGTTACTTTTTGCTGTAAACTGGGGTACGTGTTATAGTCACTATGTAAAAGTTCTCCAGCCACCTCCATCCGCCAGGATTTCAGTCATTAAGGATGTGTGCAGCTTGGCGTGGGCTTGGACATTCATTTTTCCTTATGTGGACGTGCATTCCCAGGGGCTCTGAAACAGTCAGAGAAAAGGGCACCATGTCTCTTGGCATCACTCACCCTGGTAAAAATTATTGTTTTGTAAAGTCTGCTTGAATTTCAACTAAGTGATACTAACGGCGAGGTGCTAACAGCATGACATTTTATATGGCTGATGTGAAAACATGTAAGCTTCCAGTAAACAATTTAGAGGTGTATGATTTAGGAGTGGCTTAAAATAGTTCTCTAGACCCAAATGAAAGGCCTGAGGCTTTATTGTTGAGCATGTCAGCTTCCATGTGGCCGAGAGGCTGCCCAGGCCTGATGGGACTCTGTGAGGAGGTGGAGGGCCTGATGTCCTCTGTGCAGCATCACTCCCCTTCTCACAGTGCAAATCAGTTATGTTTTACCACACGTGTATGTGAACTGGGGGAAGTGAGTCAGGGCAGAGATCGGGCCTATGCTTTGGTGTTCATTAATATGGTTTTTTTTTTTTAATTTTTTTTTTTAATTTAGCTGCCTGACATTTTCCCATGTTTTCAGAAAGTCAGATCTTCACTCATGTTTTCCTACTTACTATTTTTCTACACTGCAGCATTGCTGTCTGCAAACAAACAACTGACTCCAGTGCATTTCTTTTTAGCATTACACAGCCCGCCTACAAAGAGCATGATGCCTTTGAGCTGAGGACGAGGGCTCTCACGAGGACCCATTTCTGTGCTTGGTTGTTTTGCAGACCCAAGGGGCAGGCTCCCCCCGCTCCTCGCCTAGCCACACCATCAGCCGACCCATCCCGATGCCTATCAGATCTGCCTCTGCCTGCTCCACACCCACCCACACACCTCAGGACTCTCTGACTGGGGTGGGAGGAGATGTGCAGGAAGCCTTTGCACAAAGTAAGTCTCATTAGGAGCTTGTCTGAGGTACTTGGAAATTATTTGAAAATGGCTGTTTGTGTGGTTAATGAACGACGGACTTCTAAGATGCATGCAGTAAAACAAAACAAATATTCTTCCCTTCTGTACTCAGCACTGGTGAGGCTGCACCTCAAGTACTGCATTCAGTTTTGGTCCCCTCACTACAGGAAAGACGTCGAGGCCCTGGAGTGTGTCCAGAGAAGGGCAGCGAAGCTGTGAGGAGTCTGGAACCCAGGTCTTATGGGGAGTAGCTGAGAGAACTGGGATTGTTCAGTTTGGAGAAGAGAAGGCTTAAGGGAAACCTTATTGCTCTCTACAGCCCCCTGAAAAGAGGTTGTGGCGAAGGGGATGTTGGCCTTTTCTCCCAGTTAACTGGGATTGGATGAAAAGAGAACAGCCTTACGTTGTCCCAGTGGAAGTTCAGATTGGATATTAGGAAAAGTTTCTTCTCCAAAAGAGCAGTGAGGCAGTGGCACGGGCTGCCCAGGGAGGTGGTGCAGTCACTGTCCCCGGAGGTGTTCATGAACCGTGTGGATGTGGCACTGAGGGACGTGGTTAGTGGGCATGGTGGGGGTGGGTGGCTGGTGGTTGGGCTAGATGATCTTAGAGTTCTTTTCCAACCTCAGTGAATGAGACTATGATTCTATGAATCCACAGTTGTGTTTCACTGTCAAATATTGACTTTGTCAGCTGTCACACCTTGCTTTCCAGGCAGGCAGGTAAGCAGAAACTGGACACTATGTCATTTAATGAATTCTATTAACCAGAATAAGAAGAGTTGTCACTGACCTCAGCAAGGTATATTTTCAGTATGGTTTTTTTACATGAAGACTGCTGAAGAATATATGCTACAACCATAGAATTAGTTCAGGTAAGAAGAGCTCTGTTGGCCACACATCCTGCCCCAAGAAAGCCAGCTTCAAAGCAAAATGCAGTTGTTCAGGACTTTTATCAGCTGAGCTCCAGACAGCTCCCATCATGCATCTTCCACAGCCTCTGCTCCAGTGTTTGACCTTGTCTCTTACGTAAATATTTTGTCCTTGCATCTGAGTGTCCCTTGATGCAACCTATGGCTGTTGTCCCTTGCCCTTTTGCTTTGTGCCTCTAAGAAGGTCTGACTAGACTAAACAGGAACTGAGCTGGGAAATTTCAGTGAGCCCTTCCTCTGTTTTTTTTTTTAATACTGCTGTAGGCTACACCGTGTTTTTCATTTCTCGTTCCACTGTCTTGTCAAGTGGCAATACATCTTCAACTGTTTCGAATTTCTAAGGCCACAGGTTAAGTGATTATGTTGAATGCAAAAGAAAGCAAATAGCCCATGTGACCCAAATGAGGAAATAATTCCTTCTTTTTTAAAAATCTGCTTTATTCTAGAATATTTACCTCATTGCAGTTCTTTTATTTAAACAATTCTTTTGCCCTGTTTCAGTAGTATAAGTGAAATTGTAAGCGGGACTCTCTAGTTCCCCTGCTAGAGTGAATATGTGTTTGTTCCTAAGAACCCAGTTCAGCACTCATGCAGCCCTACCCCTGAGCACTATCTCTCTGTATCTTACAGCAAGGTCAAATCTATAATGCAATGAAGAACTTTCTACTAAAATGCTAGTCAGTTCATATATTGAACATGTTTTATTTAGGTGTAATTCCTAATTCCAGCACACCAGGCTGATGGATATCTCATTTTCTGTGAGAAAAGAAACAGTCAAGACATATTCTCCTTTTTCTGCTGTGAAAAAAAAATTTTAAAAAAAAAATGACAGAGGCAAAAATTTGGCCACTAACTCCAATGATGTTGTTAAGTAATTTCTTCCAGAGTTAAGACTGTGAGAAATAAGATAGTGGCAGCAGTAATTTATCCATAAATAACACTAATTTGCCCCAGGCAGATGTTCTTAAAGTACATAAATGTGTTTTATTCAAGAAAGAAAGCAGTAAAAAAAGTTAAGTGATCACGTTTAAGAACTGCAGCATTTGATGAATATCTAGCTTTATGTCATTTACCACATTCCCTAGGCAGAGAGGTCAAAACCACAGAACCTGAAACCAGCCACTCTGTCACATCTTGACATACTGTGCTCCATTCTGCACTGCACCAGCAGAGACCTGTGTCCATATCCTTGTCTTGTAATGCACACAAGCCATGGTTAAAGCACCATTTCTCTTGCTTTTTTTCGCTGTGCAGTTTGCCATAGTTTATAGATACAAATCCAAGACAACTTTAGAGAGGGAGTGGATGTGTGAGTGTTCCTGTGTGTGTGAGAGAGAGATTAACCACTTTGATTTACACTCCAGGAATCATCTGCTAACAACAGTATATTTAAAAAAAAAAAAAAAAAAAAAAGGAATAGGAAAAAACCTTAGGGTTTGGAGTTTTTAAAAGGTATTATTTTACATTCAGCCCATTCTGAAGAATCTACAGCAATTGAATCCTGCAAGTTCCTGTGAATACATCAGTCTGGAAGATTAGAGGTTCTGTGGGATATACTGATTATACAGCCACAATAGGAGCTATGTTTGGGATCTGGGGGAGTGAAGCATGCGTTACCAACAGCCTGCTCCTAGGGAAGGAGTTTTTCATGCAGCTCACAAGAATCCTTCATGATTGATGATTAAGGGAATATTGCCAGGTCCAGCAGGGAAGCACTTCTAGATTCATTATTAAAAAGAGTTTAAAAGCAGCCTGGGGCTGTTAAGAGAGGCAATAGTGCTTCTTTTATTAAAAAAAAAAAAAGTAAATTATGAAATATACAGAAAAATCCTTCAGCTAGAGCAGAAGCTGAGAGGAAGCAGAGAAGGAAAATCCATATAAATCTTGATGAGGTCAAGTGTGTTTCTTCAACATTTGCCGTAATTATCTGGCAAATACCTAGCAATAATGGTGTCATTAAACAGAACTGTGGGAACTTATAGAAAACACTTCATTTCTTTCCTCCTTCCCCACAGACATTTTAAATGAGTTCACGCTGGATTTAATCTTCCAGGCCTGGTCTGCTGGTGTCACTGCACAAATGCAAGCTTGATGGCAATGAATAATCTCCACATATCTGGCATTGTGATTAAATGAAGCATGAGGGTAGGCTTCTGCTCTTGCATACTGCATGAGTAAATGAGGCCATTCTGCAGAGAACTCTTCTGCACGTGTCCCTCGTAAGGTCTTTGATACCCTGAATCATCACAATGGCAGCTTTCAGCAGGGTTAAATCTGCTTTGAACAGGAAAACATATGTCTTGTGAAGAATATTAACACTGTTTTGTCTGTCTCTTGCTTCAGGTGCAAGACGAAACTTAAGAAATGATTTGCTGGTAGCAGCAGATTCAATCACCAACACAATGTCGTCTTTGGTAAAAGAACTAAACTCTGGTGAGTGAGGCTGAGGAGGGTGGATAGTCAACACATTGGTATTTTGTATATATTTGTAAAAAATTAGAGCTAGGAGCATATAGACCAATAAAGAAAGCAGTACAAAAGTTTCAAAGGTAGTTTCAAAGGTTTTTTTGCTTATAGAAAAAGAAGTCTCCAAATAACAGCTTCAGAATTCAGGGGTTTTGAAAGCCGTGGTTGTAAACACACAGCTGAATGCAACGAAAATTCATGGAGAAGTTTGGCCCTTGTTTCTTAGGGAAATGGCCTTGTCAGGGAATTGTACCTGAGAGGAAACTTTATCAGTGGCTGTGAAAGCACCCTGATTGATGGCAACTTTCCATTCCATAAAGAGAAGTTTGCATTTAGAGAGATGACTGGGGTGGCACTGAAGAGAGATTTCAGTCTTTGGAAATTTCATTCAATATAGAATGTATAGGAACTTCTGTAAAATGCAGTATGTAGTGTACTCATAAAAATATCCTACCTAATAAGCCAAATAAGCAAAAGGTTCACTATCCTGTCCCACCACAAGATGAAGAACATTAAGTCTACAGAAACATATTCTACTATATTCTACTGCATTCACTGTGATGAGATGACCACCCTAAGCTGGAGAGACAGAGAAAGGTTTAGAGAAGTAGACTGGAAGTAGACTTGATCTTGTGAAAGTTAAATGGAAACATCTGTCAAATTTGGTTTCACAGAAGTGGGCAGCGAGACAGAAAGCAACGTGGATTCTGAATTTGGACGGACTCATTTTGATGACCTTGTTCCATCTCCAACATCTGAGAAGGCATTCCTTGCACAGATCCATGCCCGGAAGCCAGGGTACATCCACAGTGCTGCTGCCACTGGATCCATGCGCAGTGACATGTGGGTACCTGCTCAGTTCACCTTTGTTCTCACTCTTTTTCTGCTGAAGACAATGCAGCATATTTTCTCACCCTCTCAACTATTTGAATACACAAAAAAGCCTAAATCCAAATGAGGACAGCTTTATGAATAGACAGTAGTAAGTTATTGCTTTCAAGTACACTTGAAAGGCCAGAGCTTAGGATGCCTTCAGGTGTGAGCTATCTCCTGTCAACTCTAGGACACTCAGATAGTGTGGAGACTGTGGGACAGCTGTGTCCCTTAGTCATATATGCTCTGCAGTCCCAATCCCTGCTTATCGAGACCTAAGAGCCTATTGGAGCACAATGACAAAAGAAATTGTTGTTTTTTTTTCTGGGGAAGACAGAATGCTTTTTTATTGACCAACTAAATTGATCAGCAAACCAATTTATTTTTAGAACCAGAATCTTATCAATAGGCATCTTTCCAGTTATTTTTAGTTCAACCTCTTACTCTTTGTTTTACTCTCAAAGCAATTACGGAGGACTGATGTCCATATCCCCAAAACACCTTCAGCTGAATATGCCCTTTGGTCTACTTCAGCAATACAAGACCGCTGGAGAGGGCAAACAACAGCAATGTTTTCCACTTCCAGGACATTATTATTACCTGGTGGTGCATGTGGCTGGAGCAAAGGTATCCTGCTGTCCTCAAACTTTACAATAAAGGGAGGTTGTATTCATTTTGAATGTCATTCATCTCAGGAGCTTGTTTATGAATAATTGTCTTTAGGGTTACAGAAGATGGAGATCCTTTTGTCAGAGCAGATGATGAAAATTATGAGAATGATTCTGTCCGCCAGCTGGAGAATGAACTGAAGATGGAAGAGTACCTGAAGCAGAAGCTGCAGGATGAGGCATACCAGGTGGGAAAAGGAGCTGACCATACCTCTCCATAAACAAGAAATAATTATATACCAGAGCTTCCCAGAGCCCTTCTTATCCTGTCCTGGGCCCTAGGGTGTAATCTCTTCTCAGTTACTAGAACAGCCACATTCAAAGAATCACAGAGTTGCAGGGCTTAGAAGGGACCTCCGGAGACCATCATGTTCAACCCCCTGCTAATGCATGTTCCCTACAGTAGGTTGCACAGGTAGGCATCCAGACAGATCTCAAACATCTCCAAAGGAGACTCCACAACCATTCTGGGCAGCCTGTTCCTGTGCTCTGTCACCCTCATTGTAAAAAAGTTCTTCCACATATTTGTGTGGAACTTCATGTGTTCCAATTCTTGACCATTGCTCCGTGTTGCATTACTACACACCACTGAAAGGAGTCTGTCCTCATCCAGATAACTCCCACACTTTAGATATTTATAAACATTGATCAGATTCCCTGTCTTCTGTTCTCTAGGCTAAGTAGACTCAGGTCTCTCAGCCTTTCCAAAAACTACAAAATTCTGAAAACTGCTGCTGTTCTCTCCTGTAGGCATGTGTGCATCTAGCTTCTGTGCATGCTCAGAAGGACCACACCTGAGGCACACAAGAGTAGCCCTTATCCTTACCAAGGCCCTCAGGTGGGCCAGAATTACCTCTCAGCTTTTTCTCTGCCAGTTCCCCCTACGTCGCTTAGACCTCCACACTCCATACCACAGAGGCTGGTTCATGGCTGTTAATGGTTAACCGTTAACCGTTCATGGTTAAGCCGAGCTCTTGTTATATTTAGATTTTATTTTCTTCCAGTAGTTGAAAACATTCATAATGGTTTCTCCACTGTGAACTGAAGCTTAAATACAGTCTGTGTGTCATTGTCATTTTCAGAATCTGGAAGGGAGGGAGAGGGTCTGGAATGAATTATATCCTAGAGAACCGAGTATTCAACAAGCATCTAGTATAGTGGAGCCTGGGGACTTGTCATTAAATACCCCCTGAGGAAGCTTTCAAAGGGCGTTTGTTTGAGAATCCAAGAAAAGCTAATTTGACAGAGGGGCCTGGAATCCCGTAGATATCCTGTCCTGCCTGTGCAGCAGTCTTCACTTCTGCCTGCTGTAATAAACTATCACAATTTTTTAAGCTATTCTGATTTGGATTATGCTAATATAAAACTCATATCTTGTAATAATGATAGTAGTAATGTTTCCATTAGGGCATGCCCAGTTCAGTTACTAAGGAGCGGGTTTAAAGCAAGCAAGAATAAGTATTTTCCCATATGGTGGTCAATTAAAATTTGGATCTCACCTATAGAGTGTAACAGAGACCAGAAATATAAATGTTTAAAAAAAAAAAAAAAAAAAGGATTTAGCTGATACAGAGAGACCAACTGTACAGAAATCATATTCAAAAGCACTTTCTAGATGGGAGATGTGCTGGTAGATTTTCTGTTTTCTGATGGTCACTTTGGATACAAGATTCTGGGACTCACATGCTCTTGGTCTAATAAAAAATGGCAGTTCTTGTAGTTGCCTCTTCTGCAAAGCTGCTAGAATTAATTATTCTTAAAAAGTTCATTGTCTCATATCAAAATTGCAGGTAATTTTGAGGTTGATGAGCATCTTTTGGGGGCTTGTTTACCTCAGTCTGCTACAGGTTCATGGTAACTTGCCAAAACTCATTTAGTTGCAAAGGTTGCTAAGGACATGGTGGCAGCAGCAGCAGTACTGTTATGGGATATATATGCTAAGGCAACAGTGGATGATACGGGGTTTTTTTTGTCATGTTTTTCTTTTAATCCAAGGTAGGAAATTAGGCCAATTTGACTGATATTTGATTACACTATGGAAGTACAATATACAGTAACAGTGTTACATGACATGTAAGTTACATTTTGTATATGCACAAAACTGAATACATGAGTATAATGCAAAATAAGGGTATTCCTTGTGTAGTAGGAGTTGCAACTGTTGCTAAATAGACCTGGATGTTACTCTTGCTTCAGTCAAAAATAGTTTTTCTACTGTATTTCAACAACACTGACAGAAGGGGAGGAGATCTCCTTGATGATGTCAGAATAAAACTCCTCTTGAGTATAGGTGAGCCAAGACTACACCAAGATGAACAGAAATGTGTTCACTGAGGCAATAGAAAATCCTTACTCTAGACATGTTCCATTTAAGAAAATTTTTCCAGAAGAAATTTCGTACTGTACTCCACTGTCTATCAGGTTGTCAGCTGCTATCAGGCAATTATTAGAGAGCAGTAACTTATAAGTAGAAACTATTTTTAGTTGATAACCACAGGTCCGAAGGATGCAGTGTGTATGAGAAATCCTTTCTACAATATTTGATGCCCTTTTGATTATGTAACATGTTTAAGCAAGCAAAATTGTGTATGAAGTTAGTAGCAACCACTAGAATGACTGGGAGGTGGTTGAATAATATCACATATTGCTCCTGAGACATGCGCTTTTGCTTTGGCTTGCTCTCTGTGCTTCGCAGTTAATTTGTGGTATGTTGTTACGCTATTCCTTTTTCCGCTGTTGTCACTGGTACTTCCTGAAGACAAAGCCATGGCTTGCTTTCCGCTTGTAAAAACAAAAGAAAGCTGGAAAATTATTGTTTTAGGGTATCCTATGGAACAGTGGTCAGGTGAACTATTCTCCTTGTGCATCCAGCCATTGAAATTTATTGCAGGCTATTTTGCTGTTTGTACTCATGTGTACACTGAATTAATCTGAATAGCAAAAAAATAACTGGTGGCTGTAGCTGTCATAATGCAATTGTCAGCTGAGATAATCTGCAAGGGAGAACTCCTACTGAGGTTACAGAATGGTAACCTCGGTAACAATATGGCAACTGTTCTTACTTTATTAAATATCTCACTTTTTGTAAAAGCAGCACATTTAGAAAAACGTGTAGATGTAGCCTTGCATGGAAAACGGTTGGTCAAAACCCACTCTTGTTATTTTGTGTCACCTTGTCTTCAAGCAACATTTTCAAGCAAAACTCAAAATTAGTAAAGTGAGCAGAACACTCAGGATGCACAAGGGAATCTGGAGCAGGGAACCTCAAAGGAGGCTTCTTTCTCTCTTTTTCCGAAGCATGTTGTAAATAACAACTATTTGTACCAGAAAAATCACAGTTAGTGCACAAGTGTAAGTGCTAACAGTGCTGATGCTCCCACATCTGTTAGCAGTTGTGTCCTTGTTAAAATCTTTTGCTGAATGTGTTGTGTAAGGCACTTTTCATTGGGTTTGTTTTCCAAGTCCGTAATTACAGTCTTTATTTCTAGGCTTGTGCATGGCTTTCTTCAGAATAATACACTACCTGGCTGCTCACTGGCTTAATTTGTCATGTTCTTGTTTTCTATCCTTTGTTATGCAGGTCAGTTTGCAAAGTTGAGTGCAATATCCTTCTCTCTCTCCTCTCAAGTAAGTATCATTATAATTTAGAAGAATGTTTGGAATGAATCCTCCTAACGTATTTTAGTTGCAGAACGCCTTGTATACTACTGAGTGTATGTGATAATGCTGTTTCTTTCTTCTTTTAACTTGTATTAGAATGCCTAGGAATGTCACCGAATCATTTCTAATAACTCATTTGAAATATAGTCATGGAATCAAAGACTCACGTTACACCATCACACTTTTCATCTTTTCCATTTGTTGGCCACAGGAGTGAGAATGCAGAGTTTTCATCTCTGGGGACGATGACAAGTATACTAGCCAGTGCAGAGAAAGTATATACAGAAGATAAGAAATCAGAGTACATTTCTGGAGACCTGAGTTTAACTCTTACAAAGGTTGAGTCTTCCTAGTATAACCAAAATAAATCATTTCTGGCGAAACCAGAACATCTGCTGTAGCGTGGGAAACAGGAGTTAGGCAAACATCAAAGAAAGCAATCCACCAGCTGCTTAACTGTAGAGGTGTCTTCAGATGCATTGTGGAGGTTTAAAGTGCTCTGATACAAAGTGCAAGGTACCCACGTACTAGCTAAAGTCTGGCAATTCAGAGATAAAGCAGGATAGTTTAGAAATTCCCTGTTGGCCCATTTTCAGGTCATGTTCTTCACACGTCAGCCTCACTGAGTTTAATGCCAAATTCAGCAGTTGTGTTTTTACTTGGGAACTCAGACAAAGACTATTTTTACGAAGGAGCCTGTTATTCTGAACATTTCCCTGGGAAATGGGAGACCGCAGGCTTACTTCTTGCCTCATCTGAAGCTGTGGTCTGCTTTTCTGACGTCCAAGAAAAAGTGCAGTCTCCTGCAGTGAGAGGTCCCCTATCAGTCGGTGGTGGAAGCAGGGTGACATTCAGATCAGCAAAACCAGCAGGCTGCATTGTGCCAGCTATAGCAGGAATTCATCTTGTTGCGTTTTGGTTGCTGTGTTTTATGCTGGAGCTGCCAGAATTTCAGGAAGGGCTGAAGCTCTTCTTCTTTAGATGGCAGTTTTGATAGCAGAATTTGACCCTACTTCAAGAGTTTTACAAGTTCTGGTGGTACTATGATCTGAATGTGAAACTGTGGGCCTTGGTAAAGCAGCCGCCGGTCTTGAGTGTTAAAAGTCATTAGGTATTTCTGAAGCATCTGTCTCAGTGTTTCTAACAGCTAAAGCAAAATAAATGAATGTGAAAAACAAACTGCAATACCCAGAGTACTATAAACACCAAATAACTGCATGTAAAATTTTCTCCTAATGTTGCCCCTCAGGTTACATTCTTTTTTTTGGTAGTCCAGTAAAAAATGTGAGCTGAGTAGAGTTTCCTAAACACAGACAGACAGAAAAGCAAGTTTTCTTCTTTTATTTTGTTGCACTTGCCAGTTACAGATCATGTTGCTTGAAAAGGGAAATAGGTCTTTCAGAAATAATGTACATATAAACTGTGTGTGTAATGGAAATGTTATATATAGCTGGGTTTAATTGCAATTATGAATAACTGACTTTTGTATCGTGCACATTTTATTCAGTAGCAGTATTTCGTAGTTATGGAAAAATAATTGTTCATACCAGATAGAATGTCTGAAATGCCTATGCTGTTTGTGTTGGGCTCTTACTTGAAGTTTACAAATTGCATCAAGACTATTACTTCAAAGATTGTATTGTTCAATCAATAATGACACAGTCAATAGTGTATTGCCTGTATGTATGAGACAGAAAGCCAACTGGGAGGGGACCATGTCAATTTATTATAGCATCATATGAGTGACATTGCCACTGATGGCCAGCCACGGGCTTCTGTTCATTTCCTTATTTATCAGTCATGGATAAGCAATGTTGATGTCAATTGATAAAGGCTTTTTGTGCTTTATTTGCATTTGATTTTTTGAAAGTGCTAATGTTCAATTCTCCAGAATTGATTTTGAAAAAGCATATAGTAGTATAATAAGTATAATCTAGTATAATAAGATCCCAAGAGATAAGTGGTTCGGGTAATACATAAAATATAATTTAATCATGTTTTTGAGATCGTTTTGTATGTTAAATGCACTTGAATAGCACTTGGTTTGTTCTTAATAGAATAGCAGAATGAATTTAAGCTTGTCCTGAGCCAGCACTAGGCAGGTCTCAAAATGCAACTTTGGCATTATTTTACCTGCTCGGGTGACTAGGGTTGACATTTTCCATTGTAGAGGTGATTGAATGGTTAGTATGGAAACAGGCAGAAATGTCTCAAATACAAAATCCCCACATCGTCTCGACTTTTTGCTAAGAAGACATTGCTAAAGAATAATTGTTTATTCAACTTCACTGTTTTTCCAGGACAGGAAAATTCTTTGTGAGTAGCACTATTAAATTTTTCTCACCTTTTCCCTTTTTTCCAACTCTGTTCTCATGTTTTTCAGCAGTGATTATAAATATTGCTGAACACCGGTTGAGAAAACCCACAGGTCTTGGGAGATAGTGTGTCGGTTCAGCCTGCCTGTTGCTCACCAGAGAAGGGTTGCTGGTTAAGCCAAGGGACACAGTGTGATAGATTATTTGTTTAAGTGCTATGGAAGCATAACAGTTTTGTATCTTTTTTTCCAGGGCAAGATGTAAGATTTGAGAGCAAACCTGCATTTCACAGGCCTTTGACATTTTGAGCCCTTTGATATAGATCTGGCCATTTACTGTTTGGGAAAGATGAAATGAAGGACCTGTAGCCCGGGGTCCAAGTTAGGTTAATGGCCCACAATTAATGGATGTTTAGTTTTCACATTTGCTGTGCCCACTGCCTGAGCTTTTCACCACATTTCCCAGCCGTGCCCTGACCTGTTTTCAGCTGCAGGGTCCCAAACACTGCCAGTCAGAGCTGACTGATTGCTTCTAGTGATGGGCAACCCTGCCCATGGCAGGGGGTTTGAAAGTAGGTGATCTTTAACGTCTCTTCCAACTCAAGCCATTCTGTGGTTCTGTGATTTAAAGCTCATGCATTAGGGCTCATTCCTAGTGTGGGCTTCAAGCCAGAAGCTCAGGAGCTCATGGAGGTGCAAGTGTTCTGTTTGGTTGGGCCCTCTGGAGGCTCAGTTCCAGCATGAGCTCCTATCAGGCTTGACTTTGTCTGTCAAAAACTTGAAGACCTCCCTGGGTGGAGATTTCATCATCTCTCGGGGCATCCTGTGCCAGTGCAGCATCTCCCTCCTCATGATTACCCCAGAATCCAACCAAACCACCCGAAATGCAATTTGTCTTTGTGTATACTCTATCACTATCAAGGGGATTTTGGCTTTGTTATCATGTAAGTACCCTTCAGACAGATGCTAACCAAACCTCCCTTTCTGCCCCTGCCTAGGGATAAGCAAGCCCAGTTTCTTCAGTCCTGTCTTCATAAGTCAGTGATGCAGTGATGGAGATGCAGATTACAAACCCTGGGTGAACTGATCACATCAATAAGGCATAACCCACTAGCGAAGCCATTTGATTCGGTGTCTCTTTTTTTTTTGGTTTGATTTTTTTCTTACTGAAGAAATGCAGTAAAAACAGCATTATGTGATCCATCCCACTTGAAAATAACAGGAGGCTGGCAGCACAGCACTTCTAAAACTGTATGCTACTTTGTGAGCTATATTTTGTGTCTCCTCTTTATTTTTTCTTCTTAAATCCTCCTCTTCTTAGCATGTAGGTGTAGAAAAGCTGCAAGAAGACTGTGACCAAGTTAACTGTGAAGAAGCAACTTTAGTTCTTTTAATTTAGTTTTAAAATCACACAAGTGGCAGGGATGTTTTTGAAAATCTCTGAATGATATGTAGCAGTTAAGAACTTGAGGATTCAGTTATAAAAAAGACTGAGAAACAGTTTTATAATATGACAAATAGGAATTAATTCTGGCATATCCAAAATGCTGCCATGAAATTAGAGTTGTGAGGTTCATCAGTGCTCATTTTTACTTTTATGGGAGCCTCTCTATCACAATGCTGTATGTGAAACAGAGAGAAGCCATGAAAGAATGTAAAAAACCCTCTACTCACTCAAAAAGTAGTTTATCCAGAAAATTAGAAATAAAACCAGCTTCTCGTCAGTACTATCAATGCATCTTCATGCATCCAACGTTCCACAAGCCATTCCTGCTTTGCACTTATGGTTATAATGATTCCATCACAAAGTATGAAATGTACCTATATTTACATAACTTTTACATTGATTCAGTAAAAATTAGTCTCACACAGCTGAGAACTGACCTATGCCATGGCTTTTGGTTGTGTTTTTTGGCTGTAGTGTAAAGACCAAAATGTTCATTTATGAAGCTTTCCAAATTAGTTTGCACAATTAGGTGGTGCAGATGCATGCCTGATTTTTAAAAACAGTTGCTTAAAATACACGTCAGAAATTCTTTGTGAACCCCTCATTAGACCTGCAATGCAGGTTTCCTTTTCATTCATCAACAGAATGTTAATGTTAGGTCTTTTGTAACTGCCTGACACACGGAGATACTAAATTAAGATCATCATACCATTTGACATGCTTAGATATTGAGGAATCGGGTGGAAGCATTTGTGCTTGAATAATTAATACAATCAAATGGTGCCAGGAAGAAGTAAGCTAAACTACCTGACCTTTCTTGATTCATCAGATTTCATTTAATCCTTCTTTGCTGAAACCATTTGCATTTCCTCTCTCATCTGGTAGACCAGCTTTATTCCTGAACTGAGTAGAAAAGAATTCATGTCAGTAGGGTTCGGTCTTTTATGCTGTTACTATCAGATCTCATGCAGTGTGAACTGGTGCTCTGAGACAGATCAAGAGAAAAAGGATGAGCTCCTTATTTCTGAAAAGGGATGAGAATACAGTGCCTTTGGAGTAGATATGCCAAAAGAAAATGGTTGCAGGTCCTGATGTAGTTCAGGGGGAGCCAGGTTGCCTATTAAGCGTTTTTCATTATCAGCTGAATAAGATGTTTAGTTGTTCTTCAGGACACAACAGAAGAATGAACTGGTGTGCCAGTGAACTGGGATGTTTATGATGTGTTGCTCCCAGAAATGCCCTCCAAAGTAACTGCATTTCTTCTTAGACATAGTAAAATATACCCAAGCCTAAATGAGGGTAGGACATTTTTACAAATGGAGGCTTGTGGTGGGAACTGGCAAGTGGCTGTTAATGGAGTGGCTCAGGACCCTGTGCTTAAGGAGAATAATCCATGGTTGGCTGCCAGTAGTCTAGCTTCAGAGAAAGCTGTAAGAGTAAAAAGGGAGGGGAAATGAAAAATCTACTAATCTGTGTTAATGTCAGTTACCTCTGTATCCTACATGTAAAGCAGTCTTCTCACCATGGTAAGAAAAAGAGTCTCAGGAGAGACCTTATCGCTCTCTGCAATGACCTGAAAGGAGGTTATGGTGAGTTGGGGTCGGCCTCTTCTCCCAGTTAACTGCAGTAGGATGAGAGGGAATGGCTTTAAGTTGACCCACTGGAGGTTCAAGTTGGATGTTAGGAATGATTCTTCTCCAGAAGAGCAGTCAGGCAGTGGCACAGGCCGCCCAGGGAGGCATTAGTGTGGATGTGGCACTGAGGGGCATGGGTTAGTTGATATGGGGGGGATGGGCTTGTGGGTGGACTAGGAGATGTTGGTGGCCTTTCCCAACCTTAATGACTCTAGGATCGATTCTATGACTCACCTGGGCAGAATTGCTTTTTCTTTTTGATTGTTTCAGGCATAGCCACAAGAGTTGGCCAGCTCCTCCCTTTCTCTGTCAAGCAGCCTGCTCTCATTCCATTGCGGGTGTGCTTGCGTGGCTGTGTACACACATGCAATGTCTTCCACTGGCTCTTTTTTAAAAAGTTTCCCTCAACATTTCTCACCAGGCAAGCTGCAGCCAGACAGACAACGAGAGCTACGTAAGAACTGATGATGAGGAGAGCTGCTTTCGGACAGATGATGAGGAAAGCTTAGCTGCAAACTTCACAGAAGAATGGAACCAAGAGGTGCAGCGTCTCTTGACAAAAAAATCACATAACTAAGTTCTGAGGACTGTAGCACAGTACTTTTGTTCTAAGAGTTGTAGTTTGTAGATGTGTGTTTTGACAAAAGACTTTCATTTAAAGCTAACTTATATTAGCTACATCTTCTGTAACATGGCTCATTACCAGTGAAGAATACAGACTGAAGTGCATACTGCTGTTACAAAGGATGGCAGTATTAATAACTCACATAAACCCTTTGCACATGATATTGAACCTGTTCAGTTTACAATGACAGTACTGTTTATAGATAGAAATTTGATTTCTGAATACTTTGAGATTTTAGTAGATTGGTTTACTATACACTGTACATTTTTTTCCACAGAAGAAATAAAAAGCGATTACGCATTAACACTGAATGATTATACTCCTGAGTGTATATATCTAGTAGCCCAAAAATCAAAGTACCGGATTTATATTTGCAATTTGTTTGCGAGTCTTTAAATTAAGACTTATACAAAATGTACTAAAACAATAATAATTATATAATTAATAATAACAATTTTAAAAATCTCTAATTTAGGGCTAATGTGTAACTTAGGAATGTTTCTTTCAGAATTATCTAACAAATCAGCCATAGAAGTTAGTGTAAATATTTTTTTTCCAAATAGATATCATATACAAAAGGTGACATTCAAATGATATAGAATCTAGTTTTTAAATCAGCACAGATCTTCTTAAAACTGTGAACTATGTTTTGAAATACTCGTTACTAAAGCTGTTTATAAACCACAGGTGCCATAAGATCCCTGAACTGACTGATGTTATGTATAATCTTCCACGGTATTGTTTCATTGATGTTTTAGCTTTAGTAAGCATGTGTTCAACAAATTGTCTCTTTCCATTCCTCTGCCCCTCCGTCTCACCCACTCCATTACGTTATTTTTGAGGCCTTCAGCTTTAAATGTACAGGCTTAAAGTGCGCTTGCAACTGTTCTCTTTTGATTTCCGAATGTGTATTGCCTTAGCCAGCCACCAGATGTTCTGCATGCACTCTTGGAAATGTGTGGTGAGACTCTTTCAGAGCTGGATGGAGAATTAGCTATCAGTGAAAAGCACAAGAGAAGCGGTGGGTTTTCTCGAAAGGACGGGCATACAGTTACAGAATTGGAGCTTTGTGCATTTTTGTAACTCAAGTGTAAAGGTATTTCAGGAGAAAGGGGACATATCCTGCTGTTTGGGATTAGGAAGTGAGACTGCTAGCTAAGAACTGTTTGCTCACTGTTACTGCAAACTGAGGGACAGTTCTGAGCAGGGACAGACGCAAATATAGTGGAATGTCCCCCACACAGCGTATTGCTTGGAAATAAAGCTTACACCTTTATGGTAGATCACATACCATGGCTAGTTCTAGAGCCACGTCTCTGGAGCCAGCCCATGGACAGCTAGACCAGAAGCAGGATGGCTGTGTCAACACAAGGCAGTGCATTGGATGCACAGCCCAGTGGAGAAGCGCAGTGCGTTAGCCTGGGGCGACCTCTGGGCAGATGTAATTTTACTGCACCGATACGACATTGCTGCTTCCGAAGTGATGCCGTCCAGCAGCCCTGATAACAATAGCGTTTCATACAGGTATTTCACACCAGCACAGTTTGCCTACAGCAGGTGGTCAGTTACCGATGTGGAGCAGGTGAACACGGTTTGTCTGTCCTCTCTTTTGTGGTTACGTGGATGTGCGCTGCCGTATTTACTTGAGATTGCTGTGTAGCTCAACTCTGTTCACTTGATGCTTGCATGCACTCTCCAGGCTTATGGCTGTTTCCCTGGGCACAGTGTGTTAGGGGATGAGTATCTGTATGAAAGAGCTGCTGCCATTTTTCACTTTCATATCGCATTATTGCTTATGCAAATCTTTTATCCATACCTCCTTGCGTATCTGGGCTTGGTCTCAGACATCCAAACAGATTCTGAGGTATCCAGATACCCTCATGTAAACTTTTCACTTCTGCAGCCACAGTCCTTTCCCTGGGATATGTACCGGCCTGGCAAGGCTGGCCCCATATTCTGATGCCCCTCCTCCAGCCTCCTCTCAGGAATGGGTGAGCCTCCACTAGTGCCTAGCACTCCACATTTAGAGCTACTCCAGAGAAACTGTAGATGATGCTGTCAGCTCAGGATTCCAGTCGAACATTTCCTGAACAGAGACAGAACAAACAAGTTGGAACACAGCTACGTGCGATGGCTGACTAATTCAACCCATGTCATGTTTAACTGTACCCAGAGTAGTAGCTCCCTCCCATCATCTTCATGTCTGTGTGATCATTATCACTATGCTTAAAATAGACACAATAGAATAACTCTATTGCTAGAGCTTCCAGACTAGGAGCAATGAGGGAAGCTGGCTGATCGCATGCCTTTCTGTCAGACTGGTGTCAGCAGGGCCATCCCCAGCAGAGCTCTAGGTCCCTGCCTCCCTGGAGCCCCGAGATGAAGCACCCTTCACTCAGCTCTCCAAATATCTATTTTAAGCATTTCCCAACTGTCAAGCTGGCTACATATTCACCCAGCTGGTCTTTGTCTGCTTGTTGAATATTATTTTGATTGTGGTTTGCGGTCATTAAAGCAAACAGTTACAGAAGAGGTCCTCGGCGGGGGCCTTTTCTTAGCTCCCGATGGCCCACCACAGCAGTCAAAACTCTGGGTGGTTTTACTGTCACTGGAGGGAACCAGTGGTTTGGATTCAGGAGACAGGGATGTGAAGATGTATAGGGTCCTCGAATGTCCAAAGCGAAGGTGGTGAATGGGTTGTCTGTAAGTAGTAATGTTAACTAAACTGCATAAAAAGGTGTGTGGCCTTTGTTGTGATATAATATGTATTTTCTTATATGCATGAGCCAAATTGTTGCATCATGATTTATCATGTGTGTCTGCCTTTACTTTCAGTCATCTTCTCCCATCTTTATTGGTTCTTGGCAATTACTGTAGATAGATTTTGTAAATATTGCAACCTCGGGTTGCTGTAATCACGTTGGTTCAATTCAGCAGACGGAGCTGTGAACAACAAGCACTCCACTGTGTCCTGAAGGCAAAGGGCATTTTTACCTTTGAACCAAAAACAAATGTATGAAGAGTTACATCTTGAGGCTACTAACTGCAAGACATTTTTAAAACTACTGTACTTGACACCACTTGAGACAGATACAGAGACACTAAAGATGTCACAATATTCATTGGTATTGTAACAGAACTGCTATTGTATGGGTTTTTTGTATTGCTGTTAAGTATTGTTTTGTGTGTGTGTGTTGGAACCTACTGGGGACATGTTATATTTTGAAGTGATTAAACTATTTAATTGTGTGTCTATATTTTGGAATGGAATTATTTCTTCATTAAAAAGATTTTTAAAAGTAATATATGGAGCATCATGTCTGTGGCTTGTTTTGGTTTCAAAAGCCCATGGAGCCCAAGGACAGGTGTTTTCTGTAGTTCCCCTGTGGTGCTGCAAGCAGCCCTTTCTAACTGTCTAGTTAATTACACCAGAGTGGGCTCCTTTAGAACAGAAGTGCTATCAGTGTATCAAAAATATCCTGTAATTCTTATCATGGAGAGAAATGTCCCGATATCTGGGAAGTGGATAAAACCCGGTCTCCTCCTTCCAAGCTGCCTGCTGTGGTAGCCTATAAATCCATGAGGTTTATTTGCCCTAATTCCCCTGTCTGCACGGTGGTGTTCTTCAATAAAGGTGATCATTTTACATATTAAACTATTTGCCAGATAGTCTGAACTTTGCCTCCACAATCCCAGTCCAAATTCATATTCTCAGGATTTTAATATATGATGACATATTGTTGGCTCACGAGGATAACTCTGTTTTATCCATGCTTAATCTCAGTTTGCTGTATTTTTTCCTAACCCACAGTCAGGCTATGGCCTGTGGGGAACAGAGGAGCCACTGGAAACTAATTTATAGGTACGGGCTGTTTTCCTGTTGCCTCTTGGTTACTCTACTTTCTGTTCCCCATGAGAAAAATAGACTTATATAGGAAGGAATAAATTGGTTTCATTTGCTGAAAGAAATGAATAAGGGAGTAAGAGTAGAATAGAACGAGAGTAGAGTAGAATAAGAAAAGAATAAGAATAGTTGTCTTTATGTCAGGGAAGGTGTAACCTTGTCTGCATCATTTCTAAGTTAGATGACTGAAAGCATCTGGAAGTCTCTTAAGAGCATCTCGGAGTTTCATTCAGCAGCTTGGGAATTGATGGATGCTCTTCCATAGCATGTCTCCAAGGCCTGTAGCTCAGCAGTTGCCTCATAAACAGTCCTTCATGCGGGGTGAAGCCTTTGGTGTTCTGTAAGAGGAATAAGAGGTTAAGCCTATCACAGAAATGGGTTCAGTGAGGGAGGGAGTAGAAATCTCACATCTTTTCCAACTGATTTTGAGAAATGGAGCTAGCATAGAAGGGAAGGGAAGTAGGAGGAGTTCTGCAGGTCCATTGTGCACGCTTTGAGATAAGGTCATTACTGCTAAAGACTAAAAGAACGGGCTATGTGTTAGAGTAGCTGCTGTTACATGCCTTGGAAGGAATCAGAGGAGGCCATGATGTATTCTGCCGTTGGCATGTAACCTTATGGAGTGTGGCTTACTGTTTTCATACAACACGATTTACCACCAGCAAATTGGTTTCCTCGTGATTGAGTTTTTTTGCAAGACACTTAGCGGTGGGCAGATGGCAGATGTGCTAATCCTGCCGCTTGTTATGCTAATTGCCAGCTGGGAAGGCCTCTCACTACCACTCCCGCTCTGTTGCCTCTAACTGCCTGGTCCTGTGTGTAACCTGCCTGGTCTACAAGGAGAGTAGTGCTCCACGAGTATGTGTTTTGAGCAGCTTTCTCATTGCTGTGTGGTTTGGGTTGGGGCCCTCTTGGTGCATCAGCTGCTTAAAAAAACACAAATGTGGTTTCCAGCCTGGGGGTGTAAGGCATGCATTGCTTAGCCTTCTGCCTGTACCTCCCCCAAGCCTTTGGCTGACTGTTGGGTCAGCTTAGGAAAATGGCCGTCACAGCCCTGCAAGGCTGCAGACTGAAAAATCAGACTCCTCTGTTCAGCTGGGTGTCCACCTTCCCACGTGAAGGGAGTGAAACTGGAGAAGAATGGCAAGCACAGTGTGATTGTTCACACACCCAAAACACTCACCCAGTCCTGCCAGCCCTCTTTTTTTGTTTTTTCTTTTTTTTCTCCAGCCATGGTACTGAGAATAAAATAAATTCATTTCATTCAGAAGGACTATGCCATAAAGCCTTCCTAGACAGATGTGAAAAAATTATTTCTCACCTCTGAACTCAGCCGGTGTAACTTAAGCCAGTGCGTTAATTAAAAAAAAAACAGGAAGGCAAGGATTTCACCAAACATCTTTGTCAGCTGCTGTTGCCTAGGTATCCATGTTTAACATTCTGGGGCTTGTTTCTAGGAGTCATAAGCTGCAGAAACAACCAAGTTGTTTTAAAGGGAAGAGGACTCAGCTTTGGTTTGCCGTGTTCACTTTGTTGTACTGATGTGGGTGTTCGTTGTCTGGTGATGGCGCAGGAGCACAGATCCCCTGCAGCAGCATTTCCCTGGCTTGCTTCAGCCAGCGTGCACACCTGGCTGTGCGTGACGGCTGGCACGTGTGCACTGTGCGTCTGTTCTTGCAGTGCTGAACAAGAAGCGGCACTTCAGAATGCGTGAGTCACAGAGCAGCTCTCCTGCCCCGTTTGCATAGGTTGGGTTGCTCTCATTTCCACTGCAAAGGAAGGTGTGCAAGCAGCCTTCCCCACGGGGCAGAGGAGAGCTGTGCTGGACGTGTCCTCACACCAAGCTCCCACGGCAATTGCACAGCTCCAGCAAGGTGCCGTCTCTGCTTTCATGGCACTTGACGACACTGTGTGACTTGTGAGACCCAGTGGTGTGAGGGACCTGGTTCTACCACTTGGCAACCACCAAACTCTCTGGCCTTGGCTTTGTATCTTTGGAGCGAGCAGCTGCTGTGGGAGATGTCAGAACCCCACCACACCACTGCCTCTGGAGGTGGGATGAAGAGAAAAATTTGAAGGAAATATTAATTAAAATTAAATATATATGTGATCATATGGTACAACTAATGGGGAGCTTCAGGCCAATTTAATTTTAAGATCTCAATAGACAGCAGTTATCAGCCATACGTGCTCGCCTCTCAGCCTCATTTGACCACAGGGCATAGTATAATGAAAACATGGATGTATTTTACCACCATTTAGTGGTACGTAGCTGAAACTCTGAGGAAACCTGTATATCCTATATCTACAGAGATACTTAAGCTTGCTTTAAAATTTCTGGGATGAATTCTAGCAAGTTCAGCCAGACCCAGTGCTTCTCCTCGTCTGATTCCTCACAGAGGCATGCGGACTTGTCTCTGGCTGCATAAAGCTAATTGTGCTCATGCAACCTAAAGCTGACAACTAAATTACTGTTCCAGCATACTTGCAGAACAAAGCTTCAGTGGCAGTGTTGCAGCCTGGTTTCTTGGACCAGCAGTTTGAAAAGAAAGATTGTTATGCAAATTCCATTCGGAAATTATTAACAAGAGCAATGCTGGAGAGCACAATCATTTTAAAAGGACTGTACATTATTGTAACCATATTCCGTTTTTGGTTATGTTGGCACAGAAAATGCAGGCCTATGAAGTGCTTTTAGTAGAGTAGATGGGCATTTAAATAAGGAAGGAAGATTTAGGCTGGATATCAGGGGGAAGTTCTTTACAGAGAGAGTGGTGAGGTGCTGGAACAGGCTGCCCAGAGAGGCTGTGGATGCCCCGTCCCTGGAGGTGTTCAAGGCCAGGTTGGATGGGGCCCTGGGCAGCCTGGTCTGGTATTACATGGGGAGGTTGGTGGCCCTGCCTGTGGTGGGGGGGTTGGAAATCCTTGAGGTCCTAACAACCTGGACCATTCTGTGAGTGAATGATTCTGCATGTGTGAATATAAGTCTTCTTCATACAGTGCAGTCCTGAAAGAGGTCTCAAGTATTCTACAAAATCCAACATTGATTGAAAGTGTGAATTCTCTCCACTGTGAAGCTGTAACATTGCTGTTCTGGAAGCACTTATTTTCACCAACAAGTTGGCGCTGCTCAGAAGTGAGGTCACACTGTGAATGCTGGGGATAGCTTGCTCCCACCAATCCCATTTCTTTCATATTTTCTGCCTGAAGTCACACAGTCACACAAGGTCTGGAATCTCACAGCACCTACAACCTCTGAAGATCTGTAGCTAGGTAGCAACATATCACACAAGAGGTAATCTCTCAATACTTACAACTTTCTTTCTTTGTCTGCAAAATTTTTGCAGCTACAAGAACACAAATACGTTTAAACTAAGGAAGGGCAAATCAGAGGAAGGACCTACTCGTTTGGAAATGAACACAACGATCTACTGAAGATAAAAGTCTTCTTTTTATTAATAGGTGTGCCTGTTTACAGGGGTTAAACTTTCTATCTAGTTGAAATTAACCTCACTTACATAGTTAATTTGTTTATTCATTATTATTTCTTGTTTACCTGTGACATAGTAACACTTGCAAAAAAATAATCAATACAAGTCCAGTCCTCACAGAGGAGCATTGGGCTGATCTGGTACCACTGATCTAAAATACAGAATTTGGAAGCACAGACCAAGGCTACTGTGATAGTTTGCTGGAGCAATCTAAAAAGCAACATTCTGCAGACTTGAAACTGTAGAAATCATAGTTGCTTTTGTTGTTTTTTTGTTTAAAGAAGAACAAACCTGCAACCATGGAAGGTGGAGAACATGGAAAACCCATCAAATAACTGCAGAAAATACAGGGAGACATGAACATGTGTGCACATCTTAACATAGTTATTGGCACATCTGCCTCCTAAAACAGCCAGCTGTGTTCCCACCGACTGCTGTCTCCCGGCTTTTTCTGCTAGCAGATCAGAAATTAAGTAGTGAAGTTGTAAAACCAGAAGAATTCAAGAAAAAAATAAATATTCCATAAAGCACACTCAAAATGCTGGGGTTTATTTATTGTAGATAAGGGCATTCCCACAGAAAGGAATAGTAGGAATGGAAGAGTAGTGCCACATTCTCCATGACAAACAAAAAACCTGACATGCACAGATTTTTGGCATGATGTGAGGCTGGGATTTTGAACAGCTCCTTTCACTGCATGTAGAGACAATAATCTTAGCACAATGTGAGCCAAGTACCTGGCACGCTGCACAGTTTTTCAACCATCATCTCTTTTCACTGCGCAACCTCAGCCACTGTACAACCCGGGGGCAAATCTTGGTCCCTTAATTTGCGCTGTCTTCCTACAGGGGAGCTAAGGTGTGGTGGTAAGGGAGACTGGGAAAGAATAAAGATCTCTTTGGAAATAT